GGAGACGCCAAAGGGCCTGCCATCTCGGGCGACGGCACCGGCTGGGGTAACGGACGAATTGTCAACCTCATGAGCGTCGACACGTACCGCATCGACCAAGCCTGCGCTCTGTTCCATCTTACCTGGACTGCCCCTATCTCCTGCGTCATCACATTGGTTGTCCTGTGCATCAACTTGAGCTACAGCGCACTTGCTGGATTTGCACTCCTCGTCGCTGGCATTCCGCTGCTGACCAGATCCATCAGAAGCTTGTTCAAACGGCGAAAGGCCATTAACAAGACCACCGATCAGCGAGTCAGCTTGACACAGGAGATTCTGCAGTCAGTCCGTTTTGTGAAATACTTTGGCTGGGAGAGCGCGTTTCTCGAACGCCTCAAGGAGATTCGAAGCAGAGAAATCCACGCCATCCAGATCTTGCTCGCCATCCGGAACGCCATCAATGCTGTCAGTTTGTCGCTGCCTATCTTCGCCTCCATGCTCTCCTTCATCACGTATGCAAAGACCAATAACGCACTTAACCCGGCCGAGGTCTTTTCGTCCCTTGCATTGTTCAATGGCCTTCGTATCCCACTGAACCTGCTTCCTCTCGTTCTCGGCCAGGTCGTCGATGCCTGGTCATCCCTGAAGCGTATCCAAGAGTTTCTGCTGGCTGAAGAACAAGAGGAGGAAGTGGTTTACAAGCCAGAGGGGGAAAACGCGTTGGAGATGCACAATGGCGGCTTTACCTGGGAGCGAACGCCGACGCAAGAATCGGAGAAGACTGTAGGCGGAAAGGGAGGAAAGAAGGCACCTGCTCAGCCCGCAGCGGCAAAGAAGACCGAAGAGCCGGTCACTTTCTCTGGGGATAGCACTGGAGATGGCGCCAGCACACTGGTGGAGGAAGAACGCGAACCCTTCAAGCTGCAGGACCTCAATTTTGAGATCAAGAGAGATGAGCTGGTAGCAGTCATCGGTTCCGTCGGGAGCGGAAAGACCTCGCTGCTAGCTGCACTTGCAGGCGACATGAGAAAGACATCCGGCGAGGTCGTGCTTGGTGCGTCTAGAGCTTTCTGTCCCCAATATGCTTGGATCCAGAACGCTTCGGTTCGGGATAACATCCTCTTTGGCAAGGATATGGATAAGGCCTGGTACCAAGAGGTCATCAACGCGTGAGTAAACATCATTCTCGAGGATCTGGATCCATACTGACATTCCTCAGGTGTGCCCTTCGACCTGATATGGCCATGCTTCCCAACGGCGACCTGACTGAAATTGGCGAAAGAGGCATTACTATTTCTGGTGGTCAAAAGCAGCGTCTAAACATTGCCAGAGCCATCTACTTTGACTCAGATGTCGTGCTAATGGACGACCCTCTGTCGGCCGTCGACGCGCATGTTGGACGTCACATTTTCGACAATGCTATTCTTGGTCTCCTGAAGGGCAAATGCAGGGTCCTGGCGACTCATCAGCTGTGGGTGCTGAACCGATGTGACAGGGTCATCTGGATGGAAGGCGGCAAGATCCAGGCTATCGATACGTTTGACAATCTGATGAGGGATCACCGTGGGTTCCAGCAATTACTGGAGACGACCGCCGTCGAGGAGAAGGAGGACGATGCCCCGCCCACCAACTTGACCGAGGCCCCCGCAGTCGATAAGAAGAAGAACAAGAAGGGTGCTGCGCTCATGCAGCAAGAAGAGCGAGCAGTGTCGAGCGTTCCCTGGAAAGTGTACACCGACTACATCCGCGCTTCCGGAAGCATTCTCAACGCCCCCTTCCTGATCTTCTTGTTGCTCCTCTCGCAGGGTGCCAACCTTATGACGAGTCTGTGGCTGTCGTACTGGACCAGCAAGAAGTACCCGCTCTCGGACGCACAGTATATCGGCGTGTATGCTGGTCTTGGTGCGGTCCAGGCTTTGCTGATGTTCATCTTCTCCCTGCTCCTGTCCATCCTGGGCACGAATTCCAGTAGGGTCATGCTTCGTCAGGCAGTCACCAGGGTTCTTCGCGCGCCAATGTCGTTCTTTGATACCACTCCGCTGGGCCGCATCACGAACCGGTTTTCGAGGGATGTGGACGTAATGGACAACAACCTGACGGATGCCATGAGAATGTACTTCTTCACGCTGGCCATGATCATATCCGTTTTTGCCCTCATCATTGCCTTCTTCCACTACTTCGCTATCGCTCTCGGACCTCTCTTCGTCTTCTTTATCCTCGCCGCTTCCTACTATCGTGCGTCGGCGCGCGAGGTCAAACGCTTCGAGTCGGTTCTTCGGTCAACTGTGTTCGCCAAGTTCGGCGAGGGTCTGAGTGGTGTAGCCAGTATTCGAGCATACGGCCTCAAATCCCACTTCATCGCCGACCTACGCAAGTCGATCGACGAGATGAACGCGGCGTACTACCTCACGTTCTCCAACCAACGTTGGCTTTCGACCCGCCTCGATCTCATCGGCAACCTCCTCGTCTTCACCGTCGGCATCCTCGTCGTGACATCCCGCTTCAGCGTACCGCCAAGTATCGGAGGCCTCGTGCTCAGCTACATCCTGGGTATTGTGCAGATGATTCAGTTCACGGTCCGCCAGCTCGCTGAAGTTGAAAACGGCATGAACGCCGTCGAGCGCATCCAATACTATGGCACCCAGCTTGAAGAGGAGGCGCCACTTCACACCATCGAAGTGCGTCCGTCATGGCCAGAGAAGGGTGAGATCGTGTTCGATAATGTCGAAATGCGCTACCGCGCCAACCTCCCCCTTGTCCTGTCGGGCCTGTCGATCCACGTCCGGGGCGGCGAGCGCATCGGCATCGTCGGCCGTACCGGCGCAGGCAAGTCCTCCATCATGTCGACCCTCTTCCGCCTCGTCGAGCTTTCAAGGGGTCACATCACCATCGATGGCGTCGACATCTCCACCATCGGCCTCCACGACCTCCGTTCCCGCCTCGCCATCATTCCCCAGGACCCGACGCTGTTCCGCGGCACCGTCCGCTCCAATCTCGACCCCTTCAGCGAGCACACCGACCTCGAGCTTTGGTCCGCACTTCGTCAAGCAGACCTCGTCCCGGCGGGTGCGAACCTCGGCGATCCGCGCTCCAAGGACCCGTCCCGGATTCATCTCGACTCCGTCGTCGAGGAGGACGGCCTCAACTTCTCCCTCGGCCAGCGCCAGCTCATGGCTCTCGCGCGCGCACTCGTCCGCGGCAGCCGCATCATCGTCTGCGATGAAGCGACGTCGTCGGTCGACATGGAGACGGACGACAAGATCCAGAACACCATCGCCACGTCCTTCCGCGGCAGGACGCTCCTCTGTATCGCGCATCGTCTGCGCACGATCATTGGCTACGACCGCATCTGCGTCATGGACGCAGGCCGCATCGCCGAGCTCGACACCCCGCTGGCGCTGTGGCAGCGCGAGGGCGGCATCTTTAGAGGCATGTGCGACCGCAGCGGCATCAGACTTGAGGACATCCGCGGCGCGAGCGAGGAGATGGGATCCAAGGACCAGGCGGGCGAGTCGAGTCAGATTTGAAGAGACCATTTGCCGTGCGAAAGATCTTCTGCAAACAAGACAAAAAAGGGGGGGCCGAAGAACACAAAACAAGTAGGTAATCATAGGAACATATGGCGTTTTTTCTTTCTCTCTTTCTCTTGTTAGTGAGCAGCATAGTTTCATACCCAACGAGCCCCCAGGCCACTCGTCTCGGACGGGGACATATCGCCCTGCTGCCCGTAATGTTATACAAAATAGAAAGACAAAAACTCAACAAAGCCGCAATGCGTCCAAAAAAGTCTCGCTAAGATCCGAAGATGCATCGTTCTTGTGTACCTTTAACCTACCTTCGCCCGCAGACGCTGTCTCGGATAGAGACAGATAAAAGACCGACATGCCCTTGCTCAGAAACATGCCTCACGAACCACAACGTCAGCAACGCGCATGTGTTTCCGTCATACGCCCGCCCGGTATCTCGAATCGACGTCGCACAGGGAGCGGGCGTGTCACAGAGATCCGGCGGGTGTCGGCGATGGTGAGAAAAGAAGAACGGCGAGAATCGTTGTCGGGCATATGCTGTGTAAGTCTGCACTCGGCCAACTTAACCGACAAACATGCCACCAGCAAAACTCTTCTCTTTCCCTGAGAAACATTGAAGAATAGGCGGTGAGGTGAGCACGCGCGTTAAGTCGAGGTCACGAATGTCGTGTCACAGGAGAAACAACTGTTAAGGAAACATGAAGTCGATAAGTGGACGACGGCTGAGCTTTTTTTGGGGGGGGGGGAAACTCGGTCCGTTCGGTATTGCGCTTTCGCGAGGTCCGGGACGGAGCACTCCCAAAAGTTTAATTAATTGGATTCAACGCGGGATCAAGTCGGGATGAGCATGAGTTCAAAAAAAGGTTGGGATGACATAAACGGTCGTAATAAGCTTTACCCGGCTCTTGAGTTTGTTTCTTGGTTGTCACGGACGACGGCGGTTTGGACGAAGTATATATGCACGTTGGCGATGTCTGAGCAACGACCAGTCCTCTGAGCCATTGGAAGTGGTGTCAGTTATGCTGCCAAGGAGATGGTCGGTGGGCCACAATACACAGCAACACCCGGCGGGATGGGAAAACTATCACACTTTGAATAAGATTCTCATTGAACGGGAATATGTACTAGCGAGGCGCGAGAATTGAAGAAACAAAAGTGTCGTTGGCAGACCTGACCGCCACGACTCCCAGTCTAATGCTCCGGCACCCGTTGAGTATGCAATGACAAACTGGTAACGATTAAAACACCACCCGCCCGCAGTGCCCGATTAGGGCAACCGGCTTGCTTTTTTGACTGTTTCCACCAGACTGTAGAAAACCTAACCCTGAAGGGCCAGGATATTGATAATTAGAACAAAAGTAGGCCGTTCTTAAACCAAGAGTAATCCATGACGCCGTATTTGTGCCTCCCATAACCCCAAGCCGTGAATATCGCCATTTTCATATGACGCAATGAAAATTGCTCCTCGGTGCCTCGACGTAAGAAATCAAACGCTCAAAACAACCGACCGCTGTTGTTGTTGTTCCGATGCGCGCTGGGCGGGAAAGCGTTGGGGTTCTCGTCCAGCAGGTCCTCGAGGTATGCGCTGGGTGCTCGTTGGCCGTTGCCGGGAGCTGCGGCCAAGTTGACGGAGCTGGTGCTGAAGTCTCGTCTCGCGGCGAAAGAAGGAGACTCAGGGGGCGTAGATTCTCTCATCGTGTTGCGAGAAGTGTTTCCATATCCGCCGCGGGAGTCAGGGCGCAAGTTCGTCAAGCTTATTGACTGGCTGTGAGCGTGGCCGGGCGAAGATGTGCCAGCAGCGTAGAAGCCAGAGGGGAGGAAGGTTGAATCACGGACGCGGACGCTGTCACGGTTGTTTCCGCCGCCAGCTGCCGTGGGCGAGAAGAAAAGGTTGGACTGGCTAGGCGTGGCAGAGGGAATGGGGCCGCGCTGCGTTCTACGCACGCCGCGCCCGTTCGCATTCAAAGACGGCGTAGACTCTTGATCCGTGTACTTATAGAACTGCGCGGGAGGAGCGGGGAAGCTGGCCTTGTCGTTCGCGATATGTTGAGCGTTGGCAGCACGAGCGACGGAGCGGTGCAAAAGGCAGGCGACAATGCCGCGCCAGATGAGGATACCGAGACCGAAAGCACCTAGGATGGCACCAACGGCGATGAAGACGGTTCCCTGAGGAGCGCTCGAACGGTGCATGAACGGGGCGTTGTTCGTAGGTGGGACAGTCGGAGGAGGGTAAGTCGTGGTGAGGGGTTGGTTGGTGAGGGATGGGAAATCCGTCGCGTCATCTCCTGATGCCGACGTCGCAGTGCCGGTGATCCTGGGGGCAGAGAAGCTCTCAGCAGTCGTCTCAACAGTGCCGGTGTTGGTGATGACCGCGGCGGCGTTTGAGGTTTTGCTCGCTTCTGTGGTTGCTGTTGTTGCTGCGGCTTGCGTCGTTGTCGCTGCGTTTCCTCCCGTAGTGGTATCCTGAGCCAGACCTGTTGCGGAGAAAAGCGAGACGGCTGCGAATGTGGACAGGAGAAGCGTGCGCTTCAGCGAGACTCGCGAGGGACCCATGATGGCCGGATCCTAAAGTTTGGCGTTTGTGATGAAATGCAGGAAAGATGCGAGATGGACACAGCGAGGCAGATGATGAACGACGGACGTTTACGGAGGGCTGCGTTTGCGCGGTGTCGGTCGATCCAGGAGTGTTGGTGTGTGTGGCTGTGTTTGTTGCTCAGCTATTGAAAATAGAAGGCGCTGTCGTCGTCGTCGTGATTGGGTCGGATGGCGCGGTTTGGCTTGGTTGAATTTCGGTCGACTAGATGGTGCGCACTATGTACCGGGGATTGCAGACAAGTCGAACGAAGGTATCGTGGGAATTGCAGAACAGCATGGGATGGGAAAGAATGAAAAGAGGTCTGTCGTGGGCTAGACCATTGCTTTGGCCGGCTGAAAGGCTGGCTGTGTGGGCGGCTTTCGGAAGCTGGACTGTGAGGAGAGACGAGAGGGAGGGATGAGGGTGCGTGAAGGGGAGGGAGAGGGTAAGTAGCAGCGGGTCGGGCAACAGGGAAGCAGCCTGGGGAAAAAAGGAGGAAGGGTCTTTCCCTGTCGATGCAGAGGAACGAACCAGAGGAACTAGAGGAACGGCACCAAGCACGCACAGCACACACAGGCCACTGGCAAACCACAGGTCAAGGCACAGGCACAGCAGCGGGCAAGCAGGTTCGTGTAATGGCGCGGACTGCCTGGACTGGGCGGTCCTTTTCCAGACTCAGAAGTGGTGTGGCGCATCTTGCTGCAATGAAGGCTCTGACGTGCTGTCGTGTCCCGCGGGCTGCTCTGTTTATTCTTGTGGTCTTGGGCCAATTTCTTGGACAGAGACCTGCATGCACAGTGCAGGGACCTATGCGAGGCATGGCCACTGGCTGCATGGCCTGGGTTTCTGGGGAAGCGAGACAGTGCGCTGCTGATCGATGCACCGTCCCGTGGAAGTCCCGGACGACGCTCGTATCGCCAATCAGGCACGGATCCCACTAATAAACGGCCCTCAGCATGCGCTACAGTGGCTGCATTCCGCACCAATATCCGTACCCGGGACTCCATCGCCCAACACGAGCCCTCGTCCGGGGTAAGCGCACACTGTTCCTGGCAGAAGCCCACCCAACGGCCAACGGCGAGTGATGACACTGGTGACTGGAGGTGATCCTCGCGAAAACCGGGCCATTGGCATTGGATCGTCAAATGATGTGACGAGATGGCGAAACCACTGCCTGGAATGCGAATGATGGCCCGGCACCCCACACAAAGTCCCCTATCGTTTCGTCGCGTCGCCATGTCTCTCTGTCCCGTGCCTGGACAGTCAACCATTTCTTAGATCAATGGTCATAACTGCTGCTGCTATGCATGAGGTAAGGTAAGCCGCAAACCACACGGGACACGCACTGCAATCTTGCTGCAAGGCACCACGCGCCCGACAGTCTGACGCCCATCGGAAAATGAGTGATCGCTTTCTTTTTCGGGGGAGTCAATTGCAACGCTAAGGCGCCCCGGAGGCCCCTGTCATTCGTCCACCAGTCCCTGAGAGTCTCATTGTCCCCTCATTCCCACCACTGCGGTCCACTCCTCGGTCGGGTGCTGAAGACGTGAGCTGGAGGGGCTTCAGCTCTGTCAAGGCCTCTCTCTCTTTCTCTATGAACGCCCAAAGACGGAATATTCCTATGAGGCCACTGTAAGTCGATGCGAAAGAAGCAGAATGAAGCACTCGGACGATGAAGAGCTGAGATCGACTGGCGCTGGTGCTCTGTAACCAGCCTCCTCGATTTGGTGGTTGTCACCGGCAGGGATCGGGCCCCGCCAATATTGAAAAAATGCGCCAGCGTGACCCTTGGGTCCTCCGAGAGCACAGACCTTCCTTCACCTCTCACCTAGCTTCCCCTATCGTACACCGAGAGATAAGATTGTACACCGAAAACTTTTTTCTCCAACTGGTCCGCCCCGCCACACCCATAGAGCACTTGCTGCACCGATAGCCTCGCTCAGCCTCGTGAAAATCAACATCTCCATATCAACACCACACACACACAGCTGTCGCATTCGCCGCCCAACGAGCGCAGTACACAATGGGTGTTCAGAAGAAGACAAGGAAGTTTGCTGAGGTATGCCCCCTTCTCACCTACTTCTCATGCAGCTCCTGGACCGGGGAATCCCATCTTATCGATAAGAAACTTTTTGGCTCTTCAACCTCACGATGCTGGCCGTCTTTCCCACCCCGGACTTCACGATGCTGACTGTCTTTTCCAACCCGCCAGGTCAAGCGGGTGATCGGAAAGAACGATGCGAGACGCAAGGAGAATCTGAAGAAGGCGGAGGAGGCCGTCGAGAAGGCCAAGCGCGAGCGACGAGGAGCCGACGGCGAGATCGTCCGCGAGATCCCACAAGTCCCGTCTCATATGTTCTTTCAGCATAACGAGGCGCTAGTCCCGCCCTACTCCGTACTCGTAGATACGTCATTCTTCAGTAGGACGGTCCAGATGAAATTGCCACTCTTAGAGACGATGATGGACTGTTTATATGGTGAGTTTGGGAGGAATCAGATCCGGGTAGGAGGACAAGGGGCTGATCTTTCCCAGCGACGTGTCACCCGATTGTCACAGACTGCGTAATGGTACGTGATACTCTCTGAACCTTCAGGCCCATCTACGGGGTGCTAACAGGTTGCAGGCGGAGTTGGAGAAGCTGGGACCCAAGTTCCGTATCCCTCTGCGTATTGCCCGCGACGAGAGGTGGCAGAGAGCCAAGTGCGATCACAAGGGAACCTATGGTGATGACTGCTTAATCAGCCGTGTTCAAAAAGATAAAATCTACATTGTCGCAACCAACGATCGTGGCTTGCAGCAGCGTATACGCAAGATTCCTGGAGTTCCGAGTGAGTGGCCCCGCGACCCCAGTTCCTTAGGCGCACACACGCTAACAGATCCAACAGTCATGAAGTGCGCCCGCGGAAAGTACCTGATCGAGAGACTGCCTGGTGCTCCGGAGTAAGAAGATGCTAAAGGGAAAGGCTGGGGAAACGCATACATCAAAAGCGAATCTGTGTTGGGTCATTTGTGTTGGTTTAATGGGATCATAAAAAAGTCTGGCTGGTCGTGATGTTTTTCGACCTGGGTTCCATCACATCTCTAGTACGCATAACATGGTCATGGAGTTTGGCCTCCTAAAATTGTACATCGCGACTATGGCGGATGCAATTCTAGACATTCGGCGTTAACAACCGGATATCTCCGTGAATGACGACGGATGGCGGCGCCAAAACCGTTGCCTAGTCATGGAGGGATGTGATCCTTCCAGAGAAACAAAAGATACTGATACCGATTCCTCATATCCTGCAGATATCTGGGCCCTGTCCAGACACAGTCAAACAGTCCAATCCTGCCCACTGCACTTTTACGTGACCTCCGGCCCGTCAACATCCACACACTTTCCGGATCCGGCCAACGTTCAACCACACAGACCCGGCCCGGAACCTTCGTCACGGAATTGGACTCCGTGAAATCCCCCCTTTAACCCCCCACCCATCCCAAAAGATCAAGACACAAGATGGAACCCGAGACGAGTCCATACGGGGAAAGCAACAGCGACGGCGGCTCAAACCCCCAAACCGCCAACGGCAACGACAACGGCAACGGCAACGGCGTTCCCACCAAACGTTCCCGCGTGCTCCTCTCATGCGGCCCATGCCGCACGTCCAAGCTGAAATGTGACCGCTCCGAACCCTGCGGGCAGTGCCTCAAGAAGTCCCGTCCGGAGGGGTGCGTCTACGCACCCAAGCCCCAGAAGCAGAAGCCCACCAAGGGCATGGCGGCCCGGCTCAAACGGCTGGAGGGCATGGTGCGGACGATGATGGATGATGGTGCCTCGCTCCCGCAGGGTGCCACGCCGACGGCAGCCAGGGAGGAGGGCGTCGCGCAGCCCGGTGGCCAATTCGTTCAAGGAGAGAGCTCGACGACGTATGTCGGGGCCACGCACTTTGCAGCGATTCTTGACGATGTAAGTTGCCCGCTGCTCTTGATCGGTGGGGTCGTGGGGAAGCGAGTGAGAGACTAACAGCCAGGACCTAGATCGAGGACATGAAGAATTACTTTGAGGAGCCCGAGGTGAATGAAGACTGGAGCGGTGATAGTCCTGATCAGACCGATGAGCTCGAGTCGCCGGACGTGTTGCTTTTTTCGAGGAACATGCCTCGTAACCGGGAAGACATGATGAGGCTCATCCCCGAGAAGAAGATTGTCGACCGTCTCGTCATGAGATACTTTTCCTCTCAAAGCCCTTCACAACGTGAGTAACTCTCTAGAAAAGTACATCCTGTATAACATCACTGACACAGAGCAGACATCGTTCACAGGCCAACATTCGTCAAACAAGTTCGTCATCAAACCTCAAAAAAACCATGATGATGCTAACCACTCTCGCCAGTACGCCAACTTCTGGAAGAACCCCTCCGCAATATCCCTCAACTGGCTCGCCCTCCTTTTCATGATCATGTCCCTCGGCGTCTTCTACTCGACCTTCCTCGCCCCGCACGAGCTCACTTCCGACTCCCCGCTCCCGCCCATGGACCGCTTCAAGCTCTTCCGCGCCGCCGCCGCGTGGTGCCTCGTCTGGGGCAAGTACACCCAGCCCTCCATCGGCACGATCCCGCCCTTCATCCTCTACGTCGAGGCCGAGTTCATCATCTCCCGCGCCGCCCAGATGAACTGCTACCTCCTCTCCTCCGTCTGCCTCCGCCTCCTCCTCAAGATGGGCCTGCACCGCGAGCCCTCCAAGCTGACAAACATCTCCGCTTTCGAGGGCGAGATGCGCCGCCGCATGTGGAACATGGCCGTCCAGATGGACCTCCTCGTCTCCTTCCACATGGGCCTGCCCAGCATGCTCAACGGCATCGACAGCGACGTCGACCTCCCCCGCAACCTCGTCGACGAGGACTTTGACGAGCACACTCCCGAGCTGCCCCCGCCGCGGCCCCTGACCGACTACACCGAGATGACGTACCCCATCACCAAGTCCTCCCTGATGCGCGTCTTCGGCCAGGTCGCGCGCCAGGCGCACCTGCTCGCCCCGCCGCCCTACGCCGAGGTCAAGCGCCTCGACGGCCTGCTCAACGACACCTGGCGCGCCGTGCCGCAGTTCATGATGGTCAAGCCGCTCGAGCAGTGCGTCACCACCCCCGCGATGCAGGTCATCCAGCGCTTCGGGCTGGCGTCGCTGTACAACAAGAGCAGGTGCGTCCTGCACCGCCGCTTTCTCCTCGAGCCGGTGCCCAAGAGGGAGCACGACTACTCGCGCTGGCAGTGCCTCGAGGGCGCCATGACGCTGCTCGAGTTCCAGAACACCATCTGGCACGCCTGCCGGCCGGGCAACATGCTCGCCCAGAACGGGTGGTTCGTCTCCTCGCTGGCCGTGCACGACTTCCTGCTGGCGGCCATCATCCTGTACCTCGCCGTCGGGCACGAGCAGTTCTGGCAGGAGGGCGGCGAGTTTCTGCCCGAGTGGATGGACAAGATGAGCCCCAGGCCTACGAAGGAGCACCTCCTGCATCTCCTGCAGCGGTCTTACTCCGTCTGGGTCAGCATCGCCGCGGACGTGCCCGAGATCAAGAAGACGGCGGACGTGTTGGAGACCATGTTGGGCAAGCTGGGCTCGCCGCCCAGTTCGCCGCCGAAGGAGGACGGTGTGCGGCAGCCGGCTTCGGTGCAGCGGAGCGAGGGGACCGGGACCTCGGGGACGCTGTCCAGTCGCGAAGCCCAGCTCCTCACGAATCTTTCACTCAGCGGTAGGGACTTTCTTGACTTCTTCACACGTAGAGTGCCTTCTATAAAATGGCTAACTTCTTGTGATAGACGCGGCATCGTTTCCTTCAAGCGTCACGAACCAGGTGACCAATCACTTCCAGCCCCTGAGCTTTGTCAGCCCGGGCTTGGGATCGAGCGACTCTGCTGCGCTCGACCGTGGATGGATCGAGGTTGGCAACGAAATGGACTGGGTAAGTCTTCATCCAGCAAAGGCAGGCGTCCGCCAGGAGATAGCTTCCTAACCTGGAACAGCGCTACTTTGATAACATCATGGGCCAAACCAACAACGATCCCATCGGCGACTTCGACGCGGCCCAGACGACGCCGTGGTTTGACCGAGGACCGCTCCCCAACGACTTTGACTTCTCGGCTGCCGGGGCTTGGGACCCGAACATGGGACAACAAGGTTGAGGGGTCAGAGGAACGTCCTATGCCGTTTTCTACAATGAGCTACAAGGGTTTGCATATTTTCACAGCCACGCACCATATGCCGCTGCCAGGGCGGGCTCGGCAGCTGATGGAGCTGAACCTACCGCCTACGCGCGTTTCGTCTGCATGTACGCACACCTTCTCGAGCAAACAGGAGCCTGGCCGGGACAGGTACATGGGGCTGCGGCTCCGCGAGCTGCTTCTGTCCTCCGGACCTGACGAGAACAACAGCTTGGCCGGGTGGAGAAGCACACGCTTGGGACCTTTTGAATCCCTCAACACGCGGTATCGGTGCCCACAGCGAAGATGGGCCCGTGGGGGAAAGAGCTTGACCACCAGACCAGCGGCAGGGATACCAAAATGAGTCTGCTCAGGTGACTCGAAAGTTGACTCCCAGGTAGGGGCTCTTGATAGCAATAGACGCCGTGACCCCGGATTTCTTGCTGTTTGGGTTCTCTTGGCTTTTGCCCCCCCCAAAAAGCCCCCCAAGACCAAAAGCTGGCTGGACCGATGGCGTGCGAGGGCGGCGGCCGTCCTCCGGGGAATCGGACCCTGCGCTTGCTTCCGTGACGAGGGGTCTTTCCCAACGAGCGAGACAGGATCGAAACTGTGACGTAAAAGCCCGGTGGCCCACCCTTGCGATGCGGCCGGCGGCGAAGGGGGCGCGGCGAGCCTAACGGAACCGCAGACGATGAGCACGAGGTCGGTCGGGCGGCCATGGTGGTTTCCCGGTGATTCTGTTCCATTGCACACAACCTGCATCTCGTCGGCGTCGTCTCCATAGCCTTGGTGTAGGGGAAGTGTCGTTCCGACATGCAAAAGCTGGCGCATCCGTACGACGGTGCCCTACAAGGCATGGGCCATCTTCCCCGCAAAATCCGCAAATTGACGGCAGCGAAGCGGGCCCTGTTTGCATTAGACCAGCATCCGGAGCAGCAACATGCTGGAGCTGGTGGCCCTCCCATTCCCAGAATGAGGCTGGCTGCTGAACGGAAGAAAAGTCATGTTCACAAATGGTGTGTTGCGTATGGATCATTCCATCCTCTGTTCAACGACACAACTGCAGCTTGGCTACACAAAGCTTGCGGCGCAATATCTCGTGGTGACCTCGTTTTGGGCGTGTGGCATACACCTCCGCGGAGATGCCCGCTTCGACGGTGAGGGGGAAACGTTGGCATATGAGCAGACGGAAGGCCAGTCGGCCTGGTGGATGACGGCATGCACGGCGTTTTGGACGTTTAGCTGGGTCCATTTGTACGTAATGGAAAGAATGCGGTGCTAGCAAGGTCGGCATTGCGCGATGGTTTGACCTGCCATTGGCGCGTCGTCGCCCGAGCTTCTTGTTTCTGTCTTTGTTTGTCAATCCAATTACAGAGCTGGGCAGTTTCCTATTAGCCGGGTTTGAGATGTGCTTATCTTTGTCCGCCAGCCTTCATTTCGCCATGTCTCGCCCCTCGGGATTTGCCTAGGAGCACTTTAGGGGACTGAAATGGGCGGGTAATTGTCTGTCGTCCCAAGGCGGCGGGCCGGATCGCTGGTGATGGGATGTGTGTGTGTGTGGAAGAACGGTCGCAGCAGCTGCACGTCTGGACTTTCAGCAGCGGCGGCACCGCCGCAGGTCTCGCCTTGCCTCATCCTCCGCGATGTGGATGCCCCACTGAGATGCGTTTGAATGTTGCGACTTTGTCTGGGCCCTCTTCTAGGTTTGCAAGCTGCTCAACTTCAATGCAATGTCTCTGCAAACCAAGTCGTTGACGTCTCCAGATATCCAAGACGTCGTCGACTGTGGATGGCAGAGTCTCCCGTCGATGTCAACGCATGTCTCGCTTTAGATGCAGGTGTTGTTGGTTTCCGTCCATTTCCGATGTAGTGCATGCTGCGCACCATTCAGCAGCATCTTGGCCGGCAACGATGGCGTTCGAGCATCCAATGGCACGATTGACGTGAGGCAGCTGGGATGAATCGGCCTGGCGTCTGGTGCGCCTCCATGTAGCCCGTAGGCCAGGAATTTGATCCTTCTGTAGCCGACGTGCATGAAGGGCCTGGGACACAAAATAGACGGCGGCGCGCGGTTTGGTGCTGGGTAATACCTGGAAGAAACAGACGCTGCTGCCGGTGCGAGGGCGACACTAGTCGTTGAGGCAGAGGCTAATCTGAGACCTGCAGAAGATGAGGCTAGAGCCTGGGGTTCGCATCCGCTGCATCGTGAAAGAGTGCGGGTTGGACATATCCGACTTTGAGCTGAATTTTCCCATCGCAGGCCAGGATTGCGATATTTCGGTGCTTCCACGTCTTTCGCCTGAGAGCCGGGAGTGGGGCCGGCCGTGTACACCTGGGGACAACACCACCGGTGCTGCGACTGAACGAATGGGCCCACGCCCGTGACTTTCATATACTACCCGCATGTATGTAGTGTACCTTGCGACGAGAAGGGCCCCGTCGTGGAGGCATTCCCTTGAGCGGTGACCTCAGAATTTGTGCACAATGAGGTCGTAGATGGTGAAACCGCGCAATGCATATACGGAGACGGCTCCGTAGGGTGCCATCGTCCGCTGCGTGGAGAGGTACCGCGGTGCCGTGCACGTATGGTGGGAGGCAGAGTTGTGTTCCGCCGTAGGTAGGTCAAGGCCAACATTCAACGTGGGCCGCGCAGATTTCTGTACATCACGTTTCGGAGTGTGGAGACTCTTGTTGCCAGAAAAAGTTTGCACGCGCCTCGGAGGATTGTGGCATCGGGATGGACTCCGATCACCGTTCGACGTCGACGGCGGCGAGCCAATTGGCAAGGTGTGGAGACCCTGATTTGCGCCGGGGGTTGACCGGAGCGATAGTGCTTAAATAAAACGACCCGTGCCATGCCCTGTGCCCTTTGCGGGAGGTGCACTGGTGAGATAGGAGGACGGGAGGTTATCAAGGTGCATCCGTCGTGTCTTATCGGCATCATCGTCAGTGCCCTGGGCCGGGTGACGACTTGCCGCGAAATTGCGCAGAGAGGCACAGGCGACGGGCGACAGGCGGATGTCTCGGTCTGATGTGATGGCAACGCCGCTCGAGCACCCGCCGTCAGGATTCGTGTATCTGGCCAGCCGGCGGTCATCTCGTCGGTGAAGAATCGGAGGACTGAGTCAATTTGCGGTTGCGGCGTGTGCAAGATGGCGTAAGACGTCGTCCGGCGCGTGCTGTGGAGGCAGACTGGTCACTGCCAGATGCTTCTCATGTACCCGAGCAGGTATCTCGATCGGACGGGTACAACACATGCGGCACCCACCAGGTCCGCAGGATACTGTACCTTTTTTGAGGCAAGGTAGCCGACGGGTCTGGTGGTCTTGCAAGGTTGGCATTGGTTGCAAAAGTAGCACGGAGTGAGGCACAAGCAGGCCGGCCTTGGAAGGGAAGGGTAAGGTACGGGGGGGGGGGGGGGTAAACTGCAGTCTACTTGCGTCGAGGGGAAGGGGACATGGGGAACAAAGAGAGAGGGACAAAAAAAATCAGCAAAGATAAGGAAAATTTTTCTGAAGCAGCAGCAATGCACAAAGAATGGGGACAAATGGCAAGAGCACACGGTGAAAAGTCCTCCAAGCAGCAAAACAACGTTTAGCTGTAGGTAAGAGCAACTGGGTAAGAGACTGTCCCAGCCAACAGGAGTCAAGCTCTTACATAATAAGCCCAACCTTGGAGCTGGCGGGAACAGTCGAGAGAAAACTACAGTGGATGGCGGGCCCGGGGACGTCCCGGTAAGAGGCTGATTCAGTGAGCCTGTCCTCGATCCCCGACGGTCGGGAGCCCTGAGGTTTCCGTACTAAATGTAAGGTAGGTACACCGTACGGACGGTACGGCCGTCAGTACCTTACCTTACGGTTGCGTGCAGGAAACTGGACTGCCCGAGTAAGGCAGGCCCTCTAATCACAGAGTACCTGCCTACTCTCTTGAACTGCACGCCGTATTATTCCAGGTACACGTGCTCCCTCCCCGACTGCGTGTCGGTTGAGGTATCCGTTGATTGCACCACTCATGTCTCTGGTATCCCCTCCACCACCACCACATCATCCTCCTTCTCCTCCTCTTACTCGATTCTTCCACCTCATCACATCAATCATGCTCACTCCCACTCTCAAAGTCACTCTCATTAGCCATGTACCGTCTGACTCCATCCCCGTGCTACCTACCTCTCTGACGAGTCTCCATCCCTCATGCTGCCATGCTCATATCCATGTCCTCCCGTCCCCGTCCCCGTCATCCTTGGCCTAGTCAGCAATAACAGCCCAGGCCCGGCCCAGCCAGCAAGTTGCTGCAACACGGGCACGCTTCCGGGTTGCGGCCCCTCATGGATGGGTTGATGGCTGGTGTTTCTGCTCGATGGGGCCCCAGTTGCTGCGCTTGCATCAAAGACGGCGGGAAAAACGCAACGTGCTCGAGCTTGCAAATGAGCTGTTCAACCCTCGTGGGCTCGTGGGTTCGTGTACGAGTGCCCGTGGCCGCCGGCGAAGATTCAATTATTAACAGAAAACCCCTCCCAAACGCCAAAGGGCAACTCTCCATGCAAAAACGGCCGCGTCTGGCGTGCCCTGTTTTTGACTTGTGTGTGTACCTGGCCACCACTCCCAGATTCTAATAATTAAAATACAAATCCATGACAACTCGAACTGCTGCCGTGCCTACGCAAGTTGAATTAACTTTTGTTTCTGCCTCTCTGCTGTTGCACCAATTCTGCCCAGTAAATCCTAAACTGTGGTCTCGAGTCTTGTCTTGTTTGTCCCATCGTCCTTCCTATCTCAGGGAGCCTGGAACCCGCCAGTTGCGTTTGCATTTGCCTTTGCTTCCCAAGCTAGCAAATCCCATCTCATCATCCACACTGCACTTTTTCCACCCTCATCGGTCCCCTCTTATTTTTCCCCGTCTCTCTCACTTCCGTCTTTTTGCATCTCACTCTGCACCTTTCCTCCCTTCACCGGAAACCGCGTCTACCTTACCATACCTTATTTACAGGTTGCCATCTGCTTCCTGTGACTGTCCGTCATTCAACCAGCAACTTACCACTGCACGGTCCAGACAGCAACATAAACCCTTGTCCGTTTCCAGTTGGTCAAATCAACACACGGACTGACTAGGACCGGTATCAAAAGCTTTGATACTCTCCTCAACTGAGGTCATCTGGTCTTCGCCCCCCCAGGTGCTTTACCTAGAACGAGTTGGACTGCTTTCTTTTTCTGCCGGCCCAGTCCTATTCTAAACCGTCCGACTTCCGTCAGAGTGGACGTTCTCCTCCGATCGTCTCACCTCATAAGGTTCGACTTCACATAAGCCGACCCCATATCTCTTCGCACTCTGCAGAAACTCCCTTGCCATCTGCAGGCAACAGAGCCGCCCAACGACACAACAAGAAGGCCAGCGCGACATACAACACGACCCAAGACCCCCTCTCAACGAAAGCATCATCTGATCCGGCCGTTACCCACCGTGGATCTCTCTTCTCCTTCCCCCATTGTCGTCTGTACGCTGCGCCCTACGTAGCAAATAACAAGCGACAGACAGACCGACCTCCGTCCGGGACGCAGCCATCAACCCATACACCGCTGGTGCTGCTGCGAGTTCCCCCCCCTCTCTCTCTCTCCGAAATCAGCCAGCTTCGCTTCGGATCTCCACGCCGAACTCCCACCTCGCTCGGCCGTGTCTAGCCCAGCGACTCATCCCAAACGACCAGGCCACGAGGCAATCCGGCCAGTGACGCTCCTCTCGCAGACAGGGGCACGGTCAGCCAGTTTTTCCCCCGATTGGACGGTTTGGACAAGACCTTGCGCCGTGAGCCCTCCGATGCAGATTATCGGTGGATAACCCGACGACGACGACAGCAAGTCCAAGAAGCACGCACACCCGCATCACCCTGACGAAACTGGCCTGACTGGGCAAGTCGACTTACAGCACGTTGCTCACTTGACTGAGACCGACAGGGGACAGGCACACCTCTCACACGCACCTCACTCACTTCAGCCAACGTTGGTCTTTCTCTCGCTCTCACACGCACACACGCTCACACTGAGCACTTATCTACGACCTTACACCTACCTCAGCTACATACGCCTTGCATACGTGTGTGCCTCTATCTACACACCTTACAGGCGCATCATCTCATTTACCAAACGCCCCTCCACCATTCTACAGCTTCTGCAGCTGCCAACGGCCAACTACCTGGGCACTTATCTCAGGAACAACCCGCCTAATACGAGACAGTGTGCGACAATCCTCGCGAGATAGATATCCTGCCCAGAATCTCTCTTATCAGCCAGGGAGAACCTCGACTGGCTCCTGCCAAATCCTGTGTCTTTCACCAAAGGCCACTTAATTACCTATCTTAGTACTCATACTCTAGAGTCAAGCACGCGCCCACCACCGCCAACACCCCCTTCCAGCCCAAACGGATACCACCATCGCCGCCTCCGCCGACGGACGCAGCCTAGTGTTTATCCTTTCATTCCCCAGATCTTTGATCGACCTCGGGCCTGGACAGGCTTACGCCCATCTCGCCGTCGGTCCTGCGTCTGCAGCTGCAAGCTTGGCCATCGCCTGTTTGCTGGGGTAAACCCCGCCATCGACAAAAAGAGGAGCTGACTTTGATAACGGCGTTTGCTATCTATCTCGCCATTCTGCTCAGCCGACCCCTCAGGGTTCTTGAATCATTCCGAACCACCACCACACGTTCTGTTCCTGGGACCGGGACCGCGACTGCATTTAATTATTTTTCGAGAACGCACCCCGTCACCTCGGCTCTCACCTCACCTCTGCCTTTCCATCCGCGCCTCTTGCATTCACTCCGTCTCATTGCTGCTCCCTCGGCGTCTCGCACCTTGCAAGTTGCGCTCGCGTGCCGCCTACCCTTACGCAGACAGACGCAGAGACCTGCACTTGGCCCGTTCGGTCCTCCCCTATTTCGCGATAGCAATCCGGCCTGCCATAGGTTCGACTTTGGCTTTTACGTATCGGTTTGTCATGGTTGATACTCCTGTGTAAAACATTCCCATCAACTCGACCCCGACAATAGGAGAAAGCGAGCCGTTTTCGGGACATCCATCACATCACTGTTCCCCCTCCGAACCAAAGGTCTTCTCCACAACCCAAGACCGCACTTACACCCTCCTTCGGCGCAATTCTCTGGGGGAAATAGCGGGGTTGACGACAAGCCCTTGCACTTGCACCACCTACCTTCCGCATTTTCACAACTCAAAACCTTTCGGCCGCCGCTGCCTTCGGTTGCCCTTTCGGTGCCTGCTCTCCCACCCCGCGCGCGAGTAGTTCATCCCAGAGACTTCTAAATGGTCACCCTGATGCCTTCCCAACTTAACGGGGTCGGGATTCCCATCCGACCCGCAAAGCAACAGCAGCAGCAACAACAACAACAACAACAGCAGCAAGACCACTCAAATCACCACTACCACGGCGACTCGGCAGTCTACAGCACCGTAAGAACGCACAAGCACTCGCGCTCCTCATACTCTGAGTCGTCTCCGCTGGCGGCTTCGAGAAACAACTCGTTGACCTTCCGCCCCTTCAAGCGTCCGATGCCCACCCCTAACAAGACCATTGCAGTCATCAACGCCGCCGGTCGCCAGGCTGCCTCTTTCATCAGAGTCGCCACCGCCGTTGGCTACCATGTCCGCGCCCAGCTGAGGAATCTTGAGGGTGTTGTGGCAACCGAAGTCAACTCAAATCCCAACGTCACTGTCCTCGTCGGCGAGCTCTACACAAGACACAAGCCTACGCCCGACAACAGAGACGTGACAACAAACGGTCCCATCTCCGGCGTCGGCGTTAATCATGACTTGATCAACGATCTCTTCCGCGGCGTCCAGCTCGCCTTCATCAACACCACATTTTATGGAGACGAGTTCCAAATCGGCAAGGCACTCGCCGATGCTGCAAAGAAGGCCGGCGTTCAGCACTACGTCTACTCTTCCATGCCGGACCACGCAGCCTACAACGCCGAGTGGCCGTCGCTGCCTCTCTGGGCCGCCAAGCACCAGGTTGAGGAATACGTGCGCAAGATTGAGCTGCCTGCAACTTTCGTCTACACAGGCATCTACAACAACAACTTCACCTCCCTGCCGTACCCTCTCTTCTGCATGGAGCTCATGCCGGACGGCTCTTTCCAATGGCAAGCCCCTTTCCATGAGGATATGAAGCTGCCTTGGCTCGATGCCGAGCATGATGTTGGCCCGGCCATCCTGCAAGTTTTCAAGGACGGCGTATCCAAGTGGAGGACGAAGCGCGTTGCACTGGCATGGGAGATGCTCACCCCCCGCGAGGCCTGCGAGGTCTTTGCCAGGGGTGTTGGGCGGCCCGTGAAGTACATTCGGGGTCCCATCGACTTGAAGGTAAAGATTCCCAACGGATATCGCCAGCAGCTCGAGGCTTTGGAGAAGCTGTTCTCGCTGGGCCACGACGACCCCAAGAAACAACCCCCCTACTTTGGTGACGCCGAGTTGGAGGAAAACTGCCTTTCCCAGTCAATGGCCCTCTGGGAGGGTCCGCGAGGTCTCGAGGAGTACGCGCAGGAAGCTTTCCCTTTGGAAGAGCAAGCCAACGGGCTTACGTGGATGCTGGAAGAGGAAGAAGAGGCAGCTGAAGACGATGCGGCTCCCGTCCATGGCACGAACATTCCCGGCGCTCGCCAGCCCGAGCATGAGGTACAGCAGGAAGAAGAGGACGACGAGTACTCTGAGGATGAAGATGAAGGTCTTACTATGAGAGGCCTGAAGAGAGACGAAGAGGAATGGCTTGCTTAAGAGCCTGGAGACGACATGCCTTGACAACCCGGTGGCACCACTCGGTTTCGGCTGACATGGCTCGAACGACCTTTGAAGCACATCACACACAACCCACACACGACATACACATTGCATGCAGCGGCGTCTGGGCGAGGAAGAAGGAAAAACAAAAATGACGGGAAATCGGTTCGGGAAAAAAGTGCGCGTTTGGGGATTGAGATTTGTGTTCTTTTGGCTGCCCGGCAGAAACGCATGTCTCATGCGTCCCTCTGGGGGTCAATCTGTCTGGGTCAGCTGTTTGGTTTCAGTGATGGCGATGACAGCTCTTTGCTCGATTTCATTTTCCCATGGGCTGGCATGGCGTTGCGTGGTCGACAAAACAAAAAGTAAGGGACGGTGAGTAATGCATAGCTCGCGGGCGATTCGAATTGGGTGCTTTATGCTTTTTTCCCGCTCCCCATGAAAGCATTGCGTCGGAGAAAGACAGGAAATAGGTCACCAATATAACGAGACGTATTTATTTCAACACCGTTCTGCAAACGACGTGAAGGTGACGAGGGACGCGCGGAACATGAGAGCTGAGACCCAGGGGAAAGGTCGCTTTTACATATTTATCCCTGGTTATGTGGCCAGGTCACGGAACGTGACTCTGGATGCCGCGAGGGCGGCAGCGGCCGTTCGTCCCCTTGCTCCCAGCGTGGGGGTTTCCGCAGCGCTGACCAGAAGAATCCCGATTCGGTGAGGCCCGCGTGGGACGGTCAACCATCCAAGGCCACCGACGGTATCCGTTCTTGGTGTAGGTTCAGCAGGTTGAATTAAAGAATAAAAAAATTAAATAAAAACCAAAACTGACCATCGTGCGGCCGGCCGGCCGTCGCGAAAGATGTGCACATGGGGGGGACCCGGGACTTGCATGAGATGACTTCATTCTTATTTTTAGAGGGGGGGGGGGGGGGGGGCGCTGCCGCCCGTTTCGGTTTCTTCAGTGTCACTTATTTCTCCTTTGGGTTTGGCACGCGGGTTGGTGCTCGTTCATCTGATGAAGAAGTTATTAATCCTTGGCGTTGAAGTGATACCCTCTTCTAGGAAGGTTTCCATCGCAGCTATCGTTTCTCACAATGGGGGTTCTTACATCAATACTATGCAAGAGTATCCGGATGTGTTCTCGTCTTTGCTCGGATGCAGACGGGATATAGCGAGAACACACACACACACACAGAGAGAGAGAGAGAGAGAGAGAGAGAGAGAGAGAGAGAGAGAGAGAGAGAGAGAGAGAGAGAGAACCCATCGTCCTTGACTCTTTGGTGTTGCAATCTGATAAGGAACTGGTCCTAGCCCCATCTCTTCTCTCGACTTGAAATCGTGACGATAAGCAGGGGAGTGTGTTGCCACGCGTGGGAGCCGACTGAAACCGAGTCGTGGGATTTCCTTCTCTATTTTTTCTCACTTTCCCTTACGTGTAGTCTGATGAGCTGCGAGAGTGACGCTGCGATAGCATGAGTGCTTCAAGTAGTATTGTGAGATGCTATCCGTCAACTTGAACAAGCCCGATAAGCACAGCAATCTTTCCAAAGATGCGTGCTTGTGTATCTACTGCTTCATTAGAGTGTGTTAAACAGCTGGAAGATGTGCCGAACGATGCCAGCTTCACCATGACACGGGCTACCTAGGGATCTCAAAGCATCAGTGAAACGACACCATGAGGCCACCACCGATGTATCGATAAGCGCAAAGATCCTCTTCCAAGGTCTTCATCGCTCACCTTAAATCTCTACCAGAACGCAGATCATGTATCGTCCTGAGTGAAATGAATTATCGGTGAGTTTCCGAAGGGCTTTCCCCCTATCCACTCTCACCTGAGGACCCTCTGTCAGGGGAGCACTCCCAACCGGAGCGCCGTTCGACCCAGAAATAAGCTGTAACTGCTGTCGCAATGATGCAGAAAGCAGTAAAAATCTTTGGTCGCCTATTTCATACGATTTGACGACTGGTTCGCAGGACTTAGTCGCAGCATCTCACGCGTTTTGCTCACACTAAGCTGGCAGAATCGATCATCTCCATGATACTCTTAACTCACAAAAGACGAAGGACTCCTCTAACTGACTATTGGCGATCAAGGCCATACTAGAGGCAATGGTCGCTCCGTATCTACAGTTTGATTCCTTGAGGTGGTCTTGTTCGACGATTTGCAGTGGCAGTTTAGGGGGAGGATAGCCTACCCGCCCGTGGGCCGTGTGACAGGTTTCTGCAGTTCAATGTGCTTTTCCACGAATATCATTCAGAATTTTTAAATATCGGTATCATCATTGTTTGTGCCCGTGAGAAGAAGCCCTCAGTGCTCTTCAGCCCACCAGACGGCGCTCGCCCCCCTGGGCCCCTTATCAACACCGTGGACCACCTCTCACTGAACCACAGCAGCTTTGCCCCAAACTCGCAGACACTATTAAGTGAAGTTCATTTACAGATGGCATTGGGCATGCTCTAGTACTTCTTTCCTGGCTCAGCCAACTCATTCATCTCATGTCCCAAAACACCCCCACTGGGAGCAGTTCCAGCACCAACACGACCTTCAGGCAACTCGTTCATGGCGTCTTCCTCGGCGTCTAAACCGCGGAACTGAACCCAGAAGATTGCGCCTGCTACGGCTGCTAAGACAGCTACGATGCCATAATTCCAGACGAGGTACGGATCCGCACTCAGGGGAGTGAACGCCTGGCCCAGCGCAGCCGAGATGGCGGACATGAACAGCGCAACAGCTTGCACCATGGACCGCATGTTCTTCGGCGCCTTGCTGAAAGCATACTCCAAGCTGGTGATGCTGGCAAAGATCTCCGACAGGGCGATGAGCACGTATGCGCCGGTCTGGGCCCAGACCAGGATGTCGACGTTGGGACAAGGTTCCCCGTTCGGCAAGTTGCCGGAGGCGTTGTCGCCGCAGACGGACTTCTTGTAGATGTAGTATTGGAGGACGCACGCCCAAACCATGGCCGCGGATCCGGTGAAGAAGCCAAAGGTTATCTTGCGGATGGGCGTGAAGCGGATCTTCATCTTGCGGAGGGTGGGGTACAGCACGAGATCGCAGAGAGGGATGAAGATAAGCAGGGCCAGGGGGTCGAGATTAGATAGAATATCATTGGGAAGCCCGTTTAACTTCATTGTTGCCGCCTGAGAGACGAGATTGTTGTTCACTGACTAGTGTAAGTTAACAAGCGTGCTAGGTGGGAAAGGGAGACGTACACTGGTTGTAAGAAAGCCAGTATATCGGATACCAGGAGAACACAGCGCATGCTGCAAATCCACGACGCCTTGAGAAGGTCAGCATATCTCCCAGATAAGCATTTTGCATCCGTAACCTACAGCTCATCGACCCATGCATCATCATATGTCATCCACTTCGGACGAGTTGCGTCGCTGAACCGAGACGGCTTGACATTCTCCCAGAATGTACCGTCGTGCATGTTCCGCCAGGTTTTCACTGGGTTGATCGACCATCGACCCCTTTGCGCGAAGAAGAACGTTCGCAAAGCCGGACCCAATACAGATCCAGACGGAGGCTGATCGCGATATCTTCCCTTGCCCCACCACATCACCAGAGGGCATAATGCGAGCATACACGTCGGGAGCGTGAAGCTGAGCCAGAAGCCGACGTATTTCTCCGCGTACACCATCGATATCTGACCGACCAAAGCACCGATGTTGATGAAGAGGTAAAACCAGTTGTATACTCGGTTGATAGTGATGGCGGGATCCACGATCACCCTCTCGCCGTCCTTCATCGTTCGCACGGTCAGGTGGTCGATTTCCAGCTGTTCGGTGATCAACGGACTGATGTTCGGCTTGAAGCCTCCAGTCGCAAATCTTCGACCTGTTAGCAGGTCCCCTGCATCTGCGAACCGGCATGACCTTACCCGATGGTAATCATTCCGACGAGGAGCGCGGCCAAGGAGTTTTCATTCGACTTGGTGATAACAGGAGGAATCGCCGAGGAAATGAGAATCAGATGCCCGACGAGGTCGACAGCGATGGCAATGCAGATGGTCTTGTATCGGCCCCAGTACTTGTCTGCAACCCAGGCACCGAATAGGGGCATGAAATATTGCCAAAACTGATTGAACGTAGTGATACCCGTTGAAGCCTGCTGTCCCATTCCTAGAGCACCGGGCTGACCTTTGGGAGAGTCAATGCCACGGCCGGTCGTCGAACCAGGCGGGAGGGGTTGTTGAATAAAGTTGGTAACTAGATCTTATTAGTCTTTCCCTCCCTCCTGTATTCTCAATTGACCAATACATACACTGGACTCTGGTCAGTCGTGCACTCTGAGAAAGGTTACCCGGCAAATCCACTTACAACAATGACAGATCCATAGTAAGAGAAACGCTCGCAGAGCTCAACGAAGGCAATGGTGAAGAGCTTGAAGGGTATGTGATCCGCAACGCGTCGGAGGGTCTTCAGCTCCTCGTCAGTCGGTGCATCGGGCCGGCTCTGTATGCCTCTCTTCTCGTCCAACGAGACATCCTCATAGTACTTCATGTCGTAGGAAATCTCGGTGCTTTGGCTCCCGGCCTGCTCGATCCTATCTCGGTTGGACATCTTGACTGCGATCTCGCCCGCGATGACGACCATAGACACTGGAAGGAATGACTTGACTGACTATGGGTGAGATGTCGTCCGCGCTGATAAGCCCGAGGGTGCTGGGTGGTATATATCGTGGCTCGTGGCCCGAAGTATGAAACGCATATGGAAGGCAAGGATGGCGCGAGCTCGTTATCTCGAGGGGTGAAAAGCCTAAGGATTGGCTCCCGAAAACCCTGGAGTCGAGCGACGCAGGGATGCATTGGGAGTTCTCAAACGCTGCAAGAACGGACGGTTTGCCTTGCAGATCGTGGGGGAGGGGAAGCAAGTCAGTGGGAGCGGCGACTTGTGGAAGGAAGGGTCTGAGCTCAGGGGCAACAGCGTATGGGACACCAGACGAGATGGAAGCCAGACGGGCACTTTGCCTGTTGATGGCTTCCAAAGAGTGATTTGGTTTATTGAAAAGTTCTATTCTGGTTGATCGGCTAATGTTCCGGCGTCTGTGTGTTAAGCTTGATGCCCAAACTGTCGGGAGCTTTCAGACCAGGCGACAATCGCTGCCGAAAGTTGATGGAATTGCTTCAAACATGACTCCGTCCAGAGCCAGAATACTGGGGTAGCATTTGTCACAGAAAACAACCTCGAGAGACTGAATGGCTTGTGAAAGACAAGTCAGGACTGTGAGAATAGGTAGGCATTCATGCCGTATTCCTCGACGTAGGAAGGCAGGGGAACCTTTCGGGATCCAAGAAGATAATTTCTGCGAACATGACCCCAGCATAGAGCAAGTAGCATCAGGTATTGAAGAAAGCTCAGCTGGCGCGTATAACGGTGTCATTCGAGATGCCGCGCTCACTCGTAGCAGGTTATTGGCTTTGGTTGTCTATTTGGTGTAGGAGGGACAACTCCGACTATGAAGGAAATGAAGCTTTGCGGATGTTTCAAGTCCATCGCAACTTTAATGGCGGCACCAAAGGTAAGCAAGCGCCAGTGATGGAAGCCTCTGAGCTTCAAGGCGGCTCATAAAGACTCAGAATTAGCGAGAACGAGAATGCTTGAGATGAGCTTCCAACTGAACATAGGTATTTAAGGCAAACAGCGCCGATGTTAAGATACAGAAGAACTCATAACGAACTTTAGAGAATATTTAAGCGCATGTTGCCAGTCAACTTGCACGAGAAATGTGTTCTAAGCTCATCGTAAAAGGCGATAATAACCTTAAACTATAATACTGTACGATCATCAATACCTATATCACAGGTAGATCGTGAATCCGATCTTAAACAGCAACAATTTTCAGCTTCGATGCTAGCTAGCTGACCAGAAGCCATCTATACTATAATGACAAAAGGAAACGATGCCAAGTCCTGGGGCAAAGTCGATAGATCGTCCTGACAACATACAAAGGGTGCTGGATATTGAACAGTGTGACATAGTTGATGTGGCGAAACGAGCCTCTGTGATCATCTTTTCAGCTCACAGCTAGAAGAGCTGACCATAATATTGTGCTCGCGGCCAGACTGGGGTCTTCAAAATACGAGGAGGGTCAGGTCGATTTGAAAGAGACACTGGCCCATAAGACAGAGCCATCATAAGTATCGTAAGAACATTTCCTGCCATCGATCCTAATTGACGTCGAATAATACAGCCAGGTGTTAAAGAGACCGCCCACTTTTTCTGTGCTAGAGCGACCAATTTCTCCGTGGTTATATGATACCTAAGTCTGTTCTATTATCGTCGTCCTTATTAGTATCATCGTCATCGTCGTCGTCATCGTCGTCGTCGTCGTCGTCGTCGTCGTCGTCGTCGTCGTCGTCGTCGTTACAACTACTATCGTTATCATCGGAGTTATTGTTACTATTATCGTCGTCGTCATTCGTAATATAAGCATTTAGATACATAGGAATGTAGTCGCCCAGGCACAGAAAACATAGGATGTCTTGTGTTGAATTCAAGCAAATGCCGGCGGCGAGTATCGAAGTCTACCGAAACTGATCCGCAAGTCATCAAGTTACTGAACATCATCTCTTTAGACATCATCGATACTCCTTCGTCATCTCTCGTCCCGTGGCCCTTATCGTTCTCGCCGTCCCCGTCTTGTACAGCTCAATCATGTTGACATTTAGATCCAGCTTCAGTGCTGTTTCCCCGGAGCAGATTCATAAGTCTCTTCTAAACATGCAGCTGGCACATGCGACCACACCCACTGGAGAACTCGGGGTCCCGTCCGCTCCCCCATCGATAAACCAGTGAGGGCCGAAGTAGTAGTCGGGTCGGAGACGATCGGCGAATGCTCGGTGTTGCATGTGGTTCATCATCTTTTTTGTCTGACCCAGTGTCAGATATACGGAGTCCAATATGACATCCGCGCTTATAAACAACACACGCCTAGTCTGGGTCAATCTGTGCCATTGGCGATTTCATCAAATTGTCGAGGATGCTAACATAACACGGCTGCTCTGAAAGCTTCGAGATAACCAAATAACGGCGACGGAAGTGGTTTTGAGATAGAGCTGCTCCATTGCCAACGAGCATGCAGACCAGGGGCCTAGGGCTGATCAGCGCAGCAGCATGCAATATAAGGCCGATCTGCTGTATCATTGGATCGCGTACTGGTGTTGGTCTCTTATCTGCAGGTACAACTTCAGCTCGTTTGCAGCACCGCTGTTGGGCGATTAGCCCATTGAAGCTTCGTTGGTGTTGGAATGTGGCATTGTTGCCGTATTAAATATTGATATGGACGAGTCTTTCCCTCGGAATGACCGATTGGAATATATAAGCCGTAATCAGCGTCATGTACCCTCTAACCACCCTCGGTCAGTGTCTATGTTCTTCCCGTCTCTTTCCTCGTCTATATCATGGCGCGTCATCGCATCATGATGGTATGCTAGCATCGCATGGCCATCTGCCAGGGGCTCCTGCCGTAACGTGCACCGAGTTCATTAGAACTTGCCCTTGAGCAGGTTGGAGATCATCTCGCGACCGGTAATTCTGGTGGTCGTCCACAGCGTGGGGAAGTCGAGGGTGCTGGACAGGCCGTCTGCGAAGCCGAAGAAGAGCATAGGAGGGATCCAGCCACGGGCGTACTCAAGCGCGAAGCAGCCCTCATCCATCTTGTACTGCTTGACGTCGCCGCGGTGCAGGTGGTGGACGCTGCCCTGGGGGTAGACCTCGGGCTCGTACTTGCCGGGGACGTAGGCGAGCTGGGTGCCGTAGAGGATGTTGAAGTAGTCATCGGCGGTGTGGCGGCCGGAGTGGCCTTCGGTTCCGATGGCGGTGCCGAACACGATGAGGTACTCGGTGATGCCTGGCGGAGAGGAAGAGGTGTTAGTCAATTGGCACGGAGGAGTAGCGGTGTGGAAAGGAGCTGCTTACTGGCGTGGATAATGTACATGGCGCCCATGGCACCGCCGGCGTTGTTAAAGACCCATTCCTCGTCGAGGTTCACGTTGTTGGGGACGATGCCATGGAGCTCGGTGACGATGTAGTTGACCACGGACTTAGTGTCGTTTCCGTGCGCGGCGATGGCGCGCTTGCTGAGATCGTGCAGATGCTCGTGGTCGAAGATGTAGAACTTCTCCAAGTTCTTCTCGAGGAACATGTAGATGGGGGTCAGGAGACCGATCCACAACGCCAGCGAGAACAGCCGGCTGATGGACAACATTGTGAAGAAGATGCCAGAAATCTAAAACCCAGAAGATAGATCCAAAAAAGAAAGCTCAAGGAATGTTGCAAGTCCCCGGACTCGGCGATGCGCAATGGTAATTAGGGAGGTATGTGTATCGGGAAAGTTTGCGACGGGACAGCCGGTAAATAAGTAAAAGTATCGTTGAGCTGCGGAATCGCACCGCTCCAATGTTTTGGTTGAGGATTGGACCCTCGTCACCCAGGACCCTGCAGATTCACCTTATTTCTGCCTTGCGCGACCGCCCGGAAGCTCGAGTTCCCAGTGGCCTGAGTATGGGCAGCTCCAGGTCGTTAGCGGACAGCTCACAGCGCATAGCAGGTGCAGGTCGTCTAGGATTCCTCCGGATAGCGGGGCCCCGGCGCACCTCTCGTCTAAACGGCCCCCGCGGGACTATGCGGCCGCCAATAGCTCACTGAAAAATTTCGGACATTCGGATTTTTACAATTCTCAAAAGCTGCCGAACGGAGCGGATTCTCTCACCCCAGCCTTGCTCGGAAGAGAACTTTTGCAATATCAATCCACTCTTTGTCATTCGTCAGCTCATTCTGCACGACTTGCAGACCGAGTACGAATAAGAGCTGTGGACTAAGCTGAACAAACGAACTCTTCACATACGTCATATACGACAGTCAACAACATCTGAAGATGGCCACGGATGAGATACCCCAGACCGCCGTCCCCGGCAAAGCATTGGGTCCGACCTCCCGCTACGTTGCCGGCCCCGGAACGCACATCTACAATGGCAACGTCGTGGCCTCGCTGATGGGCAAGGTGAAGGTGACCCCTTCCGCCAAGGCTTCAACTGGACCCGCGAAGCGCCTCACTCGCATCACGGCCCTTCCCGCAGATGAGCTGCCCACGCTTTCTGTGGTCCCTCGCCAGGCGCAAGCCAACGGCGACAAGAAGCGCGAGGTGCTTCCCGACGTTGGAAACGTGGTCCTCTGTCGTGTGGTGCGCTTGATGCCGAAGCAGGCCATCGTGACGATCCAGCAGGTCGGTGACACGGTCTTGCAGACGGAGTGGCAGGGCGTCATCCGCTCTCAAGATGTGCGGGCGACCGAGAAGGACAAGGTCAAGATCTATGAGAGCTTCAAGCCTGGCGATATCGTGCGGGCGCAGGTGGTATGTTCTATGCTATGAACTATGAGAGAACGAAGAGTTCTGACTAACCTTGTTTGACAGATTTCTCTTGGAGACCAGGCAAACTACTATCTCTCCACGGCAAGCAATGAGCTGGGCGTCATCATGGCCACCAGCGAGGCTGGCAACGATATGGTGCCGGTCAGCTGGAAAGAGTACAAGGACCCGGAGACGGGCATCGGAGAGCCGCGCAAGGTGGCCAAGCCGAACTGATGGGTGCTTCCTAAACGACCTCGCATTCGGAGCAGATCTCACGACCACGGTGGTGTGTCGTGTCCGCCGACAATATCAGGCGGGACGCGCAACGCAAGCCCAAATTAGAGTTTTCTTGCTCCGCCTCGGCCGCCGACGAGGCTGACCGGTTGCCGGCTTCGCCCTCCGAACAAGGAAGAGCTCTCGTCGTGTTTCGAAACGGGAGGCTGATATGACGACATGACAGCGGGTTTGGCGGTTTCAGACTCTTGGACCGAACCCGAGGGCCGGCGCATAGCTTCAAATTTTTTCTGTTCTGAAGCTGCTGCGCATAAATTTGGAGGAAGCAATGAGGGGGAGAGAGGGGGATTGACCGCCGCGAACCACACCACGGAGGCGGCAGTCAGTGTCGTCTGGTGAGGGTTTGCATGTCATGTTCGGCAGAGTGCCCTACGTGTTCCCCGGCGACGTCGGGCACAGGCAGGCGGACGGACTGTGTAGGTGTCCAATGTGCCCAGTCCGATGTCAGAGCCATATTCATGCAAGGGGACGATCGTGGGTTATCAGCAGGAAATTCCGGGCATCAATGGGAGGAAAGGGGCCAGGGAGAAGAAGGGTTGAGGCTTGCGCCCACAGATATGATACACGACGAATGTGACCCCTTTGTGGCCTTTGACGCAATCAGTCAGTGATGATGGCACATGACAGTCGGGGGCCAAACATTCTTGAAGCATTGTCAGCAATTAGACCAAAATTAAACAACAAGAAAAAAAAGGTCAAAGAATGGATGAAAATAGAGACCAAAAAAAATTCATCAAATTAAATCAAACGTCCGACGGCCTGCAAAGAGGACAGGAAACACGCAGCAGGTAGAGGCCTTGACGCAGCGTTGTCTTCTCCCTGCCATCTCGGTAGATGAGGCTGATCAAGGAGGGTGCTGGAACAGCAGTGGAGCACGGTCGTCGCCCAAATAAGGTGCTTCGCCAATCGCCGGCGCCGTTGGGCTGCTCCGCCCACGTTTTGGACGAGCCTCCCCAATTGCGACGGAAAGACGAAAGCAGGGAGGCGCAGTTGAACCCAGCCGCAGCCCGTCCCGTCGCGTTGGGTTGCGTTGGTTGATAGGTTGCAGCGAGCGTATTCATAGGCCACCTCGGCCCTGTATTCGTACGGAACCCCAGCCTTTGAAGCCTAGTGTCACACGCACACGGAGAAGATGGATCCTTACAACATACCACCCACCACCTCATTAACCCGGTGGCTAAGGTGAGAGGGGACAGGGACAGGACAGGATGCACTTTGCATGGCACACCACATCTGAATGGAGGGGGAGGAGGCATGTGGGCGCCGGAAGTCCAGGCAGACGAAAACGAGAGAAAATTGTGGTGAACACTTTTTTAATTTGTTCCTCGCCTTCCTATCGTTTCTAGCTCAGACAAGCCAATATCCTTCACATTCGGCGCCAAAACATCTGTTTCTCTTGTCTCTCACAGAGTTTTAGTCTAAAGGTCGAAGCGCAAACACAGGGCCGAATAAGGGACACACTACCGCAACGCTTCCAATTATACCTACCTAACTAACGACGGGACCTTTAACCTTACCTTAAACCTGCCATCGTGCGCCCACCCCTCGCATCCGCCCTACCTCCCTCCCGAACCTCTTGCTCCGCGACGTCACACCTTCCAAACTCTAGCACCCGCTAGCTTTTCCCCCTTCCTGCACAAAAACGACTCAACCACCCACCCAAAGCTTGTACGACTCGCAGCTTTTGTTGGCTCAAGCTCGGTGTCTTCCCACCTATACCTGCCAGGCCTCCTCCTCTTCCTCGTCTGCTAGCTCTTGCCTTGGCTGCACCCCTTCGCAGAGAGAAAAAGAGAGAGCCCGCCACGAACGTCCACCCGCATACCAGCCATGAGCGCAACCATGACGATGACCGCGCCTCTGCCGCCGCCGACACTATCCCTCTCAACGGACCGCTCCGAGCAGCATTCCTGCCCATCCTGCGGCGTCGTCATCGAGCCACCACCCGCCCTCCTCGAAGCCCAAGCCCGCATCGCAGACCTCGAAGCCCAGGTGCGCCTACTAAACCAAAAGGCCGCCGCCGCCGTCGACCGCTGGGCCGACTACGAAGACGAGCTCACCCGCCTGCGCATCGCCGCCTCCCACAACCCTCCCCCGGCCCCGCCGAGCCCGTCGCCCACCCGTACCTCGTTCCTGTCCGGCGGCGCAAACAGACTTTCGCAGCTGCTGAGCCCGCGCGGCATGAAGAGCACGCCGAACCTGCGGGCGCCGACGCCGCCCCCGCCGGGGGAGCGGGACCCCGCGACGACGGAGGACCTGCTGGAGGCGCTGACGAGGGAGCAGAAGCTGAGGGTGCAGGCCGAGGCGAGGTTGAGCACGACGAGCCAGGAGGTGGAGGAGCTGAGCGTCAGCCTGTTCGAGCAGGCGAACGAGATGGTCGCGACGGAGAGGAGGGCGAGGGCCAAGCTGGAGGAGCGGGTTGGCGTGCTCGAGAAGAGGGACCAAGATAAAAAGAGGCGGTTGGAGAGGTTGGAGGGTGCGGTTGGGCGCATCGAGAGGGTGAGGTCGTTGCTGGGAGAGATGAAGGATACCGCGGAGGCCGAGCGGCCCGCGGGCAGCCGGCTTTCTGGGGAGACAACGGGGTCGCAGTCGACAAGTTCATCACAATTATGAGATGGTCACGCTTGGCGATGAGTGTACGATGCATAGCAGTGCGATATTTATGACGACATGACTTAGCATATTGGGCGGCTTCATGGATACACAAGGACATTTTATGGATATCTACGGAAGTTTGGGGTCGGTAATGGAGCATATATGGTTGGCATAATGGACAAGTTCAAAGGACTTGGAAAATGATTAGTTTGCATCACAGGTCACGTACTTGGTCTCAATTGCGATACTACTGTGCGCAAGATGAAAGGAAGGAATCAATTGGATCGTCACAGCATATATCTAATGCGTGTATCGACAGTTAGCCAGCTGGAAAAGAGCAAGAATTGTAGCTGCCAACTCTGCCACCTGGCCCGTAGTGCTTTTGAGGTCCTGCAAAATGATGCCTTATACGCCGTGCCTCTCCCATTTGCAATCAGTCGGATATAAACGTGCCCCATGCTCTGCGTCCGTAGATCCTACATCTAAGTGGGCTGGCTGGCTCAGTCTTTGATGCCCTCCCATTCTGCCTCTTCAGTTTTAGAGGGCGTCTTTGCCTTTGGAGACGCCTTCGGTGACGCCCCGGGCGATCCCTTGGGCGATCCCTTGGGAGACTTCTTGGGCTCCTCGGTCTTTGCTTCTTCAATCTTTGGTGCCTTGGCGGGCTTCTCACCCTCGTCTGAACTGGAATTTCTCCTCTTCTTGACATATCTGTCGCTATCGTCGTTCTTCCTGTTCTCCTCCCACTTGCGCTTCTTCTGCAGCTTGTTGCGACCGTTGTTCTGCTGGCTGGCTTGGCTCTGGTTGCGCTGCTTCTCCGACTGCGGTGCACCGTTGGGATACTTCTGCATCCAAGACGAAAGCATCTCCGACACCTTTGAGCCCCAGGCTTCCTCGCCCTTCTCCAAATCGCTGTATTCCAAGCAATTGGCGGTACGGACCTCAAAGTCGCCTTGTCTCGAGCGTTCCAGCTCAGCCATGATGCCGGCAGAATCGACCTTTGCTCCCAAGTCGTGGCAGAAACTGCGCACGTAGAAGCCAGAGGTGACAGTCATGCGAATCTTGGCAGCTGGCGGTCCCTTATCAGTCCACGGGAAGGGTTCGTCCTCAGAAGGGGGAGGAGGAATGAGGTTGGAACCCTTGCCAGGGGGCAATTGTCCGAGTGCACCAGACATGAGGGCGTTGTTCTTGGGTGGGCGCTGCTTCTTGGGGGGCTTGTCGCGGATGAGATCGTCCTGCCGCTCCTCAAACTTCTTCTTAAAAGATTCGTGCTCCGAGATGGCCTTTTCCTCTTCCTTCTCCTCGGCTGGGGACAGTTTCCTGCCGCCATTGGCGTCTTGCTGCTTCTTGACCCGCCAGACCTGCTCGGCCAGGTTCTTCTCCGCAGTCTCGGCCTCCTCCGTAGGCCATCTAAAGTTGTGCGAACCAGGCTCGTACCACTCGACCATCTCGAGATCGGTGACCTCGACTTCGCGACCGGCAATTTCCCTCGGGATGGCCTTACCCTCGCGGGCGTACTCATACAGTGGCTTGCCTTCCATCTTGAGCGCAGAGTACAGCGGCGGAATCTGCTCGAACTTGCCCCTGAAACTGTCCAGCGCCTTCTCGACCTGCTCCTTCGTGATGTGATCGTAGGGTCGTCTGCTCAATATCCTACCCACGCGGTCATAGGTGTCCGTGCTAGTGCCAAAAACCACTACGGTCTCGTACGTCTTGGTGCAATCGAGGAAGGAGCCGAGCGACTTGGTTCCCGAACCGACGCCCAGAATGAGCACACCGGTGGCCATCGGATCGAGCGTTCCGCCGTGTCCCATCTTCACGCGAGTGTCCTTCTTGACCTGTCGGCGACGCTTCCATTCTTGTCGGGGCTCGGCGTTCTTAGCGGCGAGGTCCCTGTCAATCAACGGCTTGAACATGGCCGAGGGGTTGAATGCGGACTGAGCATCTCGAATAACTTGCGCAGAGCTCATGCCGTACGGCTTGTTGATGGCTGGTCGCAGAGTCTGTGGTTAGCGAAGGGTGCTCCATTTGCGCAAAACATTGCGCAGCGAGAAAAAAAGCATTCGATTGGAATACAGGGAAAAGTAGGAGCAAAGCTTACCGAAGACGCCTTCGAACACGGTGTCTTTCGCCATCTTCCAAAGACGAGACGCAGTTCGCATTCGCCTCGGTTTGTAGATAAGTGTTTTGTTCGAGCAAGAGGGAAGGGGGAAAAAGAAGAGGAAGGGTCGAGGCTAGTGGGGGGAATAGGTGCTCTTTCTTTAGCTTTTGCGATGCGGTCTGCGGTTCACTGCATGCAGTTGTGCCAAAATTTTTTGGAAGGGACGTTCCAGCGTGTGTTATCAGCTTATCGATTGGCTGGCAGCCGTTCAAGCCCCTGTCTCTGGGGCCGCAAACCAGCAAGTCCCTTGCTGGCGCAGCGAATGCCTCTACGTACCTGGCGCGCCCTCTTTCCAGCTCTAGTGGGGGAGCAGCAGCGGCTTCGAGTGCCCCGCATTGGTACTGCAGTACTATCCGGTTACGTTAGCGCGAAGCAAAGGGCCGGTGGTTCGAGGGCCACCAACACAACTGTTGCCGTGCGCGCGCCTCTGTTCTGTTTAATGGAATTCATCGCGTTCGCGCGTGCGCTCTTCTCGATACCACCCTTACGCATCCACCAACGTCGGCGCAAGTCACCGCCCCGCAACGCTTCTTTGACAATTCTCCCACGACCTTGTCCACCAAACCTGCCTCTACAATGCCTGCCTTCCAGTACTGATCTCGTCGTCCCCGTTCCCAATGCTGGCCACCCTAATCGATCCCACTCATTCGATCGCAGTCTAGGCCGCCAACATGGTCGGACGACGTAGGAGGACGTCCGACTCCACCACGGCAACCGTCGACCCCGAGGACAACGTTTACACCGATGAGCTAAACGTACTCAAGAAGTTCGATCCGCGCCTGGAACCCGACGACGCTACATCTACGATACAAACGTTCATCCTTGAAGATGCCACCATCCACGACAAGCACGGCCATCCTGCTGAACTCTTTACAGTCAGGACGAAAGGGCCCTTCACAATTCGCGGCCGTTTGAAGATAGACCAAGAGCAAAGCTCCAGAGGTCAGTTACGCATACGCCCATTGTCTCGAATCATGATCTAACTCAGCGTAGCCAAAAACCCAGCCATGAGAACCGCCCTGATCGAATCCAAGAATATTCGGAGGTACGCTATAGGCGCTTTCGACTCAGAGAATTCCGTCAGATATGGTGCGTGGGCAGGTGGGGGTACCGGCTGGTTTGAGATAAGACCTCCATCGGCCGAATATAAGCCAACACATGATCGAATGATCGAGGGTGTTGCCATTTACTATACCATTATGACGGCAATTGAGGAGCATGCGGATGCCGTCGAGGAGTACGAAACTCAAACCAAGCCGGGCAAGAAAGGGTCCAAGAAGAAGGGAAGAAAATCACCACCGAAAGCACTTACCATACAAAGCTTGCTTCTAAAGGTCAGTGATTGCCGACCGAAGCACTATTGTGCCCGCTAATGTGCTCCAGTATGCGGTGGCTATGGGCGACGGGGCGACCCTTGATGAGGTCGAGGCGCGTTGCGACAACCACGCACCATTCTTAATCTCGCATTTCTATGAAGACCGCGCAGCGTTCGATTGGGAACCCACAATATTCTTCAAGTGGCTTGTTGAGCGCCACCCCGTGAGCAACAATCTTCGCCACACAGAAGAAGCCGGAGCTAATGGTGATAGGACATCCATTTGGAGGTGCAGAAGGCTCGGAAGATGAAGCCACAAGGACAACCCACCATCGAAGAAGTTCCAGAAGAGATGGACATCGTTGCCCCAGCGGACACAACAGACGAACCCCCTGCGCAGAAGGCTATTTCGAAGCGCAGACAGCGGGACACCCCACAGGACACCGGCCTTGACAATGATGACGTTGAAGCTCACAACTCTGGCGCATCCGGTTCTCGGCGAAGCATCAGGTCGAGGTCGAGAGCCAAGACGAAGACACAATCGCGGAGTCCGCCTCCAGTGGTCATCGCGGCAGCACCTTCGCCGTCTCCTGAGCCGATGGATGTGGACGCAGCGCTACAAAACATGTCTGTCTCGGAACCTTCGCAGAACCAGGAAGCCAGCGAACGCTCAAATGTTGATTTGATTTTGGAGGGACTTGAGGAGCTTCGTCCAGAGCTGGAACCCCTCAGCAAAAATTCTTTCCCCAAGGTTTCATCGAAGCTGTACTACAAGTACAGCATCAAGCACTATCTTGGTTCAGCGGAGATACTGAAATATTACGCCAGGGAACTGGTGGAGCGTCTGGACCAAAGCGTATGGGGAGATTCCAAGTTTTGGGACACGCTGCAAGAAAACGCTCATGGACCTCGCATCACGCTTGAGCACGTTACTATGGAAAACATCCCAGGCAGCCTGATCCGGCGAAAAGCCAAGACTACAAACACAAAGCCTGAGACGAATGGAGCTGGCACAGCGGCATTTGCAACGCCCCCGCCAAAGCGTGCCGGACGTCCCGCAGGCAAGATGTCGGCTTTACGTCTGGTCGGCAGTAAGGGAAGTAAACGACGCTTCGATTCGACGGAAGACACCCCCGACACAGTTTCCCGAGGGTCCAAAGCGGCAAAGACATCGCACACCTACGACTCGGAAGAGAACAGCATGGAAGCCAGCAGCTCCGGTGATAGCGACAATGAGTCTGAGGTTGACACGGCTGAATCTCCCGCCGCGTTGAAGGTGGTTGTCCGGGCGGAGATTCTCCCTACAACTGATGCCAAGGGGCCCAATGGCACCTGGGTTTGCGACGAAGAAGATTGCGGGTTCGTTGTTCGTAACCCTGATCAGGACGAGGGCCGGGAAAGAATTCAAGACCACATCCAGGAGGCGCACTACAAGGACGAGAACCGGGACGCGCGCATCGACTTGGCAGTGACCGAGGGTGTTAAGAACCACCTTCCTATTGAGTATGGCACCCATTCTCCTTCCTCACACTTCAGACAACTCTGCCTTTCTGATGAGGTCTCCCCTTTCTGGGACACCGGTCCAAGTGGACCCTTAACTAGCAGGAAAGCATCCCCGTCCGAGTCCGTCACTGTTGTGGGATCTTCAGACGAAGACGACATTCTTCCCGGCACACTCGAATCAATTTCTTGCGCTCTTTCCAGCTACATTTCCAGATGAATCATTCTAACACTTGCTCTACTACAGCCACTTGCTCGAGAAGATCCGCCAGATGGGACAGAAGGTTATGGACGATGAGGAGCTGTCGGTCGATCGGGTCTCCGTGCCTCAGCCGATCAAAAGACGACTGATATCCTAGCTTCAGGTAAGGGGCAGGCACGGGGAGACTTGGGAATACATCGTGTCCGTTTAGGGAAGGGAGAGAGAGAGGGAGAGGCAAAGATACCACCAACATGCATGAATTTGGCGTTTGGGCCGTCGTTGGATTATTTTGGGCTGCGCGTCGCCCGGAGTTTCAGGGGGGATAAGGTCTTGGGTCACCGTCACGACTTACTATTGGAGGTGATCGAGTTCTACAAGACCGATACGAGGTTATGGAAGGGTAGTTGACCTGGCAAATAGTTGCGCCGAAGACACGCAATTGTTCATACCCCCCCTCCCCTCTCCGTAGCATTGTCTTTCGTGATATCACAGCCCGCCCAACAGGACGAGTTAGTGATTAAGTTTGTTCACAGGTCGAACAACCTCTGGTCTAAGTCCTGTAGGTTTCAAACTGACGGCGCTATTAAGCGTTGCTGATCAGTGAATATGTAGTGAACATCTACAGTAGCCGTGCTAGGTAAGTCTGCCTCTATTCATCCACTCAATACAGAACAGCGGACCTACAACTTTATCTAACTTTGTAGTACTGCAAACATCATCTCTGCGGGTCGCAGCCCAGAGCAACGCCGCGGGCTATGGTTGCCTCGGGCTATGAATGACCAAATGCTTCATATCCTGCCCAAGACACACGCCGTTCCGATAGCCGTAGCTAAGCATACTTCATGCTGTCCAGATCTCCGTCTGCCTTTTTGTTTTGTATTTTTTATTCTCCAACGCCGCGCTGCAAGGCCTAGGAAATTTGGGCCCTAGAATCGCTTTTGATCCAGGTATTTGCTTGCTGTTGACCACACCGCCTTGTCTGCGGCCGAAACCTCCTTATTCAGCGTCTGCACGCCCTTGTGGATTGCATCGAAGAAAGCGTAGGCCAGCTGAATGTCCTCCTTGAAGTGAGTAGCATAAGGGAAGAACTTTCCGGGGAAAGCGTCAATAGTAGCTTGTCGCTGTTGCAGGGTTTCACCGGCGGGAACCTCGTCCATCAGCGTCTTGACCGCAATACCTAGAGCAATGTCTGGGCTGTGCAGGAAAGGCAACCTGTATGTCTTCTCGTTAATCGGTGCGGTCAAATCTGGGTTAGGTATCCTTACGTGTTGTTAATGTCCAAGTAATCATCCCTATCTCTCTCAGACTGCGCGTAAAGGAACATGGATGCCACGATCGCCTCCACCAGGTCGCGGTCAGCCTCGCGCACTGCAGTGGACAGAGATCGGAACAACAAGAGATTCTTGTTGAGGGGACCCGTGTACCCATTTGCCTCGTGTCGAAGCTTGAGTAGCGAGGAGCATCGGCTGAGGAGAATGATACTGGCTTTATCATCCTCACTGCCAGCGCTGGGAGCGCCATTGAGCTCCTCATGTTTGTGTCGGGAGTTGAGGACGTCAAACCTGATAAGCTCAAAAGCAGTCAAGATTGCCTCAAAGATGTTAAGACCTTCAGGAAGTTCAATGTTCTTCAGTGAATCCTTCATGGCCCAAATCGCACTAGCAACAGCATTACCCCAGTTGGTAAGCATGTGAGAATCGTCAACGTAGCCACGGAGATGTAGGAATCGCCAAATGACAACGGCTTTGATATTCTGAGATGAATCGATACCACCAATGCGCTTCTTGTCCTTTGGGAAGGTGGCCGTAACGAAATCAGTGAACAGCAACGCTCCGAATTCGTATGCGATTGAGCCAGGGGGGTCCTCAAGGCCCTCGACCATCTTGAAAGAGCTCTCCTTCACATCCCATGTGGCGGCACGCAGAGATGGCGACGGTTGAAGGGATTTGTTGATCTTGTAGTTGAACGCATCGTCGAACCACACTTTGAGGTAGATCGGGTTGTGCTGCAGACCACGATGCAGTCTGGGGATGAGAAGTGCGATACTCTGCTCCTTGAGGGGAACGAGCTGGTTTGTGATCAGCTTTTTGTACTGCTCCGAGGACACGCCGTCGAGAGTTGGTGTCACAACGATTTGGCTATGTGTTATGTAGTTGAGAACGCGAGCACCAATCAATCCCGTGTTGAGGTAGTGGAAGAGCTCTCCAGGAAGCTGTAGGCCGAGATATTCGTGATTATCGCTCGTAATATGATCATAATCATTCACCTTGACCTCGCCGCTCTCTGCGATGTAGATGTAGTGGTTGATGGCCATCTTGGCCTGCCTGTACTTGTCCAACCACTTCGGGTCCTTTGACTTGAGAACATCCCCGTATGAGCTGCAAGCGGACTGCACTGACTTCTCTGACGCTCTGAGAAGGTTAACCGCATCTTGAATGGTGAATGGCTGACGCGGGTTAAGAGATGCGTCCTGAAGAGGAGGGAAGGGAGGCAGGAAAGAGGTGCCAGTCATCAACAGCGCATCAACTAGCATGCTTTCGCTGACGTTGAGTGATTTCAGCAGTAGTTTCTTGGAGAGTGAGGTGACGCTCTTCGCCTCCCAGTCTATTGTGCGGATGATGGTGTCCCTGATGGGGTACAGGAGCAGCTCTTGGGAGCCCATGATGGCAGCGCATTGATCGGAGTCAATCACATCGAAATAGGCGAGCTATCGTTTTCTGTCAGTACTGCCCACTTGGAGGCCTTGCTTGACCATCGACTGACCTGGGCAGAGGCATTGTATGGAGGCACGAGGAAGTGAAGGTTGTTGTCCTTCAAGATCGACTGGAGCAAGGGGTACAGGTTTTGAATGCGGAAGGCACCTAAGCCAAGTCGTGTCAGTATAATAGCTACCGTCCGCATCGTCCGGGTTCCGTACCGTAGTTCGCACCAAAAGCCTCGACGGCCTTCGTGGCTTCACCGGAAAAGTATAGAGTCCAGGCCTCGTTCGTTTTCTGGTTTGCAAGCTTTCCCCGCTGCACCGCAACTTCTTCTTGGCCAGTCACAGACTGGCCGTCGAAGATGAAGAACGGGATGATCTTGTGCGCTTTCCATTGCTCAATGTCGGCTCGGAGGTGGAACTCGATACCGGTCATGCCACCCAGCGCGGGCAGAAGTGGCTCGTGGAAATGGGGACTCTCGAGGAAAAGCTGGAGGTAGTACGTCGCATCAATCGCTATCGCACAGTCCTCGAGCTCGGAGACATCGTGGGACCTGGGTCATGAGAAATTTAGTTGGCAGGATCCCAACTCCGGGGGCGGGTTGAACTTACATCGCATGGCCATTGGTCCAGGCGTCCTCCACAAGGCCTTTCATTCTGGGTCAGTAATGTCCAAGAAACAGCTTGTGAAATATGAAGTCGGGACGCCGAGCTGCAAGGGCAGGGTTGAGGAGCGGGAGTGTCCGGTTGCCGTCGATCGCAGTTTGAGGCCAGGTGGTGTGTGGTGTAACATGGACGAGACGAGCTTGAAGTGCAAGCTTTCGAGATCCTGATGACGACGAGTAGCCACAGAGCTCCCTTCCTCGTTGGGCGACCGAACTTTGATTCTCGTAGGATGCCCACTCTGGCGGGAACTCGGATGCTTCTGGGCGCGAGGCGAGTCGAGGCGGGTATGACGCAGGTAGCCTTCAAGGCATGTGACGAGAAGACGAGGCTCCGGACAGGGCACGAAATGCAGCAGAGGGCGCGCGCATGGAGGGTACGAGGTTGTTCAAGTGCAGAAGAAAATGGCGGACTCACTAGGCATGTTGTCGGACCTTGCGCGACCACGAGGAAGCTCGTCGAGCTCGAGTTGACAACGAACCGTTTGGGGGTGAGGGACGGGGGGTGGAGCTTTGGGTCGCGAGATCTCTCAGGAGAGGCAAGATGGTCGGACAGGGTCTGCCGGAAGTTCAAATGACTTCTGAAGGAATGACTGAGCTTGTCATGAAAAAAGGAAGGCCACAGGAAGGCCAATGACACTGACAAGCGTGTCTCGAACGAAGAGGGGAGCTTTGGAAAAGGCGCTGGCGAGGGGCGGTAGGTAAATTAGGAGAGTTTGGGGTTCAAGGACGCATGGTAGCGTCCAGGACCTTAGGTAAGACCAGTAGGTGCGAGGTACGGTGCCGCTGTACAGACACGGGCAGGGCCCAGGGGGAGCGGGTTGGCAAATGGAACCCTTGGGTTTCGGGGTGCTAGCAACAATACCTAGGGTTAGCGCCTGCCTTGAGTTACAGGTTGCAGTGCCGCCGCAGGTGCTGTTGGGTGGGTTTGACTTTTGTGGCGGTGTCCTCCATTGTGGCTTGCCGCGCAGGCGTCTGCACCTTACCTGCCTATCTGCCGAGGAGTGAGTGACAACTCATCATCGCAGTTGCTTCACACATCTTAAGGCGGGCAAGCAGAAAGAACTCCTTCAGGTCTTTACCACCTTCCTGAATACTCCTTTATCTCGCTCTACCAACCAGAGCTTGTCTTGCGCTGTCCATCTAGCTCCAGAGAAAGACACCTCTTCGACATCTTGGAGACCCTAGAAGCATAAACACACAAAAAGACAAGCATCCGAGACCGCGTTTCGGTCCCATCTTCCAATAGCAACAGGCGCCACTCCGTGTTCCAGCCACTCGAAGCTTCTTTCCAGTGAAGTGACCTTGCAGCGGCTCCGTCCCCGCCTGTCCCGATCCCCGCTCTTGTCGGATGCATTCGCGCGTCTTTACAGTCAGGGATGTGGGATGCAACCTCCTTCTTGAGCGCGTCCTTCCAACCCTTGCAGATGGATGCCGCAGATATTTTGTACTTGGTATTTGGTCTGACGACTTCTAACTCTGTGAGGTACTGGCATTGAGTGATATCAAGATCGTAACATGAGCTAACTGAAGGGGTCCTTGACTTCCCTAAACCCATTTCGACTTGCTACCAAGGGCAGTTGGACTTTTTCACTGCCAACTCGCCCAACTACTCGATCAGTGACTGCCTGTGTCGCTGACAGCACACATCGACACCGGTATTCCATGGGTCAATAGCTAGCATTTCCATTCATAACATGTCCTCGGTGTAGACCTTACGGAAGTAGCCTGTGGCATGTCAACGGACCAGAATTTGGCCCATGCCAAGGTCAATTGCTCACAGCTCAAGCTTTGTGCTACCAACCTGCTGCATCCCAGCAACCCGCCATTCAGTTGATTGCCGACTCAGGGTTCAGCTTGGAACAAGAGCAGCCCAACGAGTAGGCCGACAAGAAGTCAAGACGACTCTGCACCTCAATTGTCATCTGCATCACTAACTGGAATTACATTGAATCACGACTAACGTCGTCGCGACAGCTCGAGCTGCGATTTCTGGCTTTTCGCCTGATCTGATTGGACAGCCATCCCAACAGAGACAGCTACTGTCATATTGAGTTTGCTTAACCTCCCGCGCCTCCTTATCTGAATAATACTTCTTCACGTTTCACCCCGCACATCGAATATGCAGCACATCTTGATCTTGTGGCCCGTAACATCCAAGGGCAACCAGCCGTTCAGAGGAGTACGGCGGTAACACTCTAGCTCACGAGATTCTGGCTGCCTCTCGAAACAGACCCATTCTCATGTCCGCTATCAAAAGCTGCGTAATAGACATTACACAAGTCGCCCGGCCCCGTCTCAAGCGGTCCTATCCGCCCCTCCACACTCATCATCCCACCCTTATCGCTTATCGCATCCCACTTCGCGCGAGTTCGGGTGAACCTCGCCCCTCCAAGTGCGCCGCTCGCTCACTCTCATAATTCGCCTTGTTCTTCTCTCTCATCTCTCCTCTTGTGAAGGCGAATAAGCGAAAGGAAACGCAGCAGATATGGCCCCCAACGCCAACATCCCCATCATCGACATCGCCGCGCCTGGCGTCCACAGGACGGCCATCGCGCGGCAGCTTGTCGATGCCGCGGTTGAGCACGGCTTCATTTACATCCGCAATACCGGCAAGTACATCAACCTTGGCGACATCGATGCTGCCTTTGACTTGGTAAGAAATCGTAAACCGCCTTGAATTCATTGCTTGACTGACATGCCCGAAATAGTCGAAGAAGCTCTTCAGGGCTCCCGTAGAAGAAAAGGCTGCCTGCACCATTCAGCAGAACAACCGTGGTTGGTCTGGGATGCACTCTGAGACCTTGGACCCTAAGAACCAAAGGGCAAGTAGATCAAACCCGGCCCAGACATTTTCGTAAAACTAGTACTAACACTTGCCACAGGTCGGAGACTACAAGGAGTGCGTTTCCCCATCGCTTCATCGATATGCACCCGAAGACGACTAACATGACTTAGAGCCTTTAACTTTGGCGAATTCAAAGACTCCAAAGCCCAGCAACCCCTGCCTCCAACAATCCAGCCCGATGAGCCCTTCTTGAACTCCTTCAGAGACCAGTGCCACGCCCTCTGCCTCGAGCTCCTCAACCTCCTCGGCATCGGCCTCGAGGTCGACCCGCCAACCTTCTTCTCCACCGCCCACCTCCGCGAAAAGGGCGACTCAGGCACAATCCTCCGCATGCTCTACTACCCGCCCTCCTCCGCGACCTCCTCCTCCCCGGACGACGTCCGCGCCGGCGCCCACTCGGACTATGGCTCCCTGACCCTGCTCTTTCGCCTGCGCGGCCAGGCCGGCCTCGAGATCCTGACCCGCGAGAACACGTGGGCCCCCGTGCCCGTGACGCCGCCCGGGACCGAGGCCGACGCGCTCCCGCCAATCCTGATCAACATCGGCGACCTGCTGTCGTACTGGACCAACGGCATGTTCCGCAGCACGGTGCACAGGGTCGTCTTCGGCGGCGAGGGCGCGCCCGGCGAGACGGACTCGGGGCCGAGGTACTCGATGGCCTTCTTCTGCCACCCCGTCGGATCCGTCACCCTGGACCCGGTGCCGAGCGAGAGGGTGAAGCAGTTCGTCGCGCCGGAGGGCACGCCGCACGCGAACCCGTACGCGGAGAGGAAGGTCATGACTGCTGATGAGCATCTGTTCATGAGGCTGAGGGAGAGCTACAAGGGCCTATATAAAGAGGAGGAGGCGACGAAAGCATAGACCAAGCCGTGGGAGCTTGATCGAGAGATCTTTTGCAAAAGTCATGTCTCATTATGTACGATGCGTGATGTATGCCGTGACTACTCATGTACTCATACAGAAAAACTCCTTCGCTATGCTAGAAGAAGGCCTAGACCAGTCCGACGAACCACTTGCGCTTCGGATCAGGGGGTTGGTCAGACAGCGCCTTTGATCCCTTGAGCACTCTCTCCAATGCAGTAACATCCTCCAATAAGCGCCAATCGTACACCTCGACCCACTCGCGCTTCCCGCTGGGAAAGTATTGCGGGCTTTCCTCCGCTCGTTTCATGAATTCTCTGGTGGCTTCCTTGCGATTATGCTCGACGAAGCAGATCTTGCGGGTGCGGTTCTTCTTGGACTGTGAGCACGCCGGGATGCTGCTCCAATATTTGAGATCTGTGGTCCATTCGTGGATGCCGTGGGACGGAAGCAGGTTTTCGGTGACCCACAGTTGCTGGGCGATACAGGGAGAGAGGAGGGCGGTACGCTTTTCTGCAAGGAGACAGTGGCTGCCTGCATATTCGCATGCCTTGGTGGTAGGAGATGGTTGGGGTGGAGGCGGCATTTCGGTTTGATCGTTCGAGCCATGTGCCTGAGGGGCTGCATTCTCTGCGGCCGGGGCTTGGGCACCGCCGGACGAGGGCGGCGTCGGGTTCGGAGGCATCGCAGCTGTTTCAACGGGCTTTGTGAATGCCACTTGTTGAGAAGCCCGAGGTGAGGGAGCGGTTCGGTTGGCGCTCACTTCTCCGAGTGGCAGGCGACTTTGCTGAGGAGCAGGTTTTTGCTTGGCCAAGCAAGGGTCTGAACAAACTCTCAGTCGCTTGTTCTCGCGAGCAACAGGGTGATAGTTTTCTTGCGCCCGCTTATTGGCTTTGGACGACGTCTCGGCAGTGACGATGTGGACAGCTTTGGTAGTCTTGCCTGCAATGCTTTCAGGAGCAGAAGACGTCGGTGGAGTGACAAGAGCAGGCTCTGCCACCTCAAGCAAGGCTGGAAGGGATCGGCGATTGGTCAGTGGACTTTCCGCGCGAGGAGCTGGCGAAGTTGATGGTTGAACGGAGGATGTGCGGGAAGGTGTCATGAGAGAGGTAGTCGTCGACTGGCTGATAGCGTCGACAGGAATACCGCGTGGGTCTGCGCCTTCCAGCGCAGCGATCCAGCCAAGCATCTCCTGGCTGTCCTCCATTGGCGGTGTGGTTGTGGCGTCCTCGGCTACCTTCTGTAGCTCTGAAAAAGATATGGTGTCGATGAAGGATCTGTCGAAGTGAACCTTGGATACCTGAGGAAACCTCGGCTGCCAGAAGCCTGTGTTTCCCTCCTTATCAAACGAGAAACAACGGACGTCGAACACCAAAGGCTCCGTGAAGACCACACTTGGCATCTTTTGTTGCGCGATCCCTGGAGCAATATCCAAGATCAGCGTATCATTGTCGTCGAAGGCCACAGGCATAGGCCTGCCATAGGTCACCACCGTCTTGAGCATGGTCTCGTTCAGCTCTACTTGGTGAACCACTGTGAATCTTGGTCTGGCCTGAAACCTCTGAACATCTTCTTTGTTGTCAAGACAACCAAGGTAGAAGTTTGTCCACTTGAGATTCGGGATGCCGTAGCATTTGGCTTTGTCCGGGTCGTAACGAGCTGCCACCACAGCAAAGTCGCCCACATCACCAAAGCTGCCGATGTACTCCTTCTTTAGCTTGATGGGGCAACCGGAAAATGGGCGACGGTTTTCGCTGAAGTCGAAGTAGGGGTCGTCGGGCTTCAAGACCAAGCCTTCGTCTCGTGCTGTTATAGACTTGGCGAATGCCTTTCTCAAGTGGGATGCAGCCATGGGCTGGCTGAAGGAAATAATTTGGCGTTCTACCAGCTCGGCGAATCCCTCTCGGCAGGTGACCAAGTCAGTCAGACGCTTGAACCGCTCGCTATGCCGGACTCCAAGCAGTGATTCTCCGTCAACGAGAAGGACGTCGTAGTAGACGATCATCAAGTGCTCATAGTGATGCCGTCTATGCCAGTCAGACTACAAGTTCTGTCTGGGAAGTGGAGTGCTTACTGTGAGTCGGCCTCTGTATGCAGAAAGCTGCCAGACCGAGACACATATTTTCGTATCTTATGAAATGGAAGAATCTTTTGTTCCTATGCAATGTAAGTAGGTGGAGATTTGACGGATAATATATGCATACTTTATCACTGTAGACGACTAGCTCGCCCTCTAGAATGCATCCCTTTGAGAACTTGCAGTCGAGCTTTCCGATGTTGAGGGAATCGCGAATTGCCCTGTTGCCATTAGCCCACGCAAACGCAGCGAGGCGATCATCAACGTACCCATGCAATGCTGCGCGATCTGATGTGCTGTCTTTGCCGCTCTTGGAAAAGATCTGAATACACTTGTATCCCTTGCTCAGATCTATGTGGATCTGGCAATATTCCCCATCAACCTTCTTTTCACAACTCATCTGACCATGGCCGATTTTCATGCAGTGTTTGATGCTGCGTCCCTTTAGCCACGATTGTCTCCCTACCTTGACACCCAGAACAGGCGTCAGATGCTGCAACAAATTCTCGCGTCTTTTTCGTCCTGTCTCGTCGCGGAGATAAGGGTCGTTCCTCAACTTTTGACGAAGAGACAGAGCCGCGGAGAAGTCATCTTGGACTCTTAGAATCATAGGGAGCAACGGATCGTAGCAGTAATAGACGTGTCTGGGGTCGAATACGACAGGCTGGTAGTTTTTGAGGATGAGACGAGTCAGCCACTTGGCTTCCCTGGCGTTCAGGCGAAGGTACAAGCTGGAAAGAAGCTCATCTCGGTCGCGCGCGCTGCTCGGTCGGAGCTGTGATGCCTGAACTGCAGGAGAACTGAATCTGCATCTGGCGGCGAGGCTATTGAGAGCTGTGTCGATCTCCTCAATAGTAATAGGATTTGCAGCGTTGTAGCATGGGCTCGGCTGTGTGTATGTTAGAATGGACAGGTTCTTAGACACACGCATCATCCAAAGCCGGGTAGCTCAATAGGGATATCCGATGACATACTGTTTCTTTGAAAATGTTCTCGATACAATCAGCCAGATCCAACCCTAGGCCGGGCTCTTTGAATCGCTTCATCTCTTTCACACGCGACTGGCCAAGGCCCAGCACCCGTCCGACGATGCCACATAGCGTGTCGGCCTGAATGCCGTATACACGATCAGTACGCTTCTCCGGTAGGAGCGTAGAAAATAGAGCGGAGGCACTGTTTCCTGAGTCGTCGATCCGATGGCGGTGTTGCTTGAACCAGTTGGTCACGCGTTCGTTGACCTTGGTAGGATCCGATTTGCATTGTCTATGAGCCTGTTCTAAAAGGTCGCAAATAAGAAGGAAAGGAAACGGCATCGTGACAGGTTGACCATTGTAAAAATGAACCGATACAACGCAGACGATGTCTGATGAGAAGAAGACCTTGGTATGGGAAAATTAACCTCCAGCCAACTCACGTTACAAGAGTAGGCAACCACGGCGGGCTTTACCCGGTGACAGCTCGCGAGAGTGAAGCTGATTGCCTCAGGTGAATGATCGAATGGCGATTTCCGGTTTGGGTGGCCGCTTCCAGCTTAGGTCAGATGCTGTGCCTCGTGAGAGCTTCATGCACTGTCGGATGAAGAAGTCGCGTCTGTCACGCGTCTCGGTGGTACGCGCCGTAAGTACCTTTGGGTCCAGTGGAGGGCTACACCGGCCGGGCTCGAATTCAATTGCAATCGCAATTGCAGGTGCTCTGTGTGGTGCGACTGTGCATCCGATCGTCCGCTGGATTAATGCGTGCACAAAAAGCCATGCACAGCTTCAGCCAGAGCAGGTGCGGCAGACGTTCTGGAATGGGCAGAAGCCAGAAGCAGCGCGTGAGATGGGAAGAATGTCGCAGCCATGACAGGCAATCACGTGGGGCCCGATGGCATTTGGGGAAACAGACTGCAACTCTGATTGGACACTAATTTCTGGGAAATTGTGAAATTGGGGGCTCTCCACGCAGGCCACGGGTCATCCCAGCTGTTTCCTGCGTACCCTTGCGGGCCCTGAATTCGCGACCAGGCAGTGCTGGCCAAGCTAGCATCTTAGTTGGCGCTGCTAAGAACTGGTGAAGAAGCTACTAACGACTGCTAGCAAACTGTCAGCAAATCCTCCAGACTGTGCGCCTACGTACGACTCGGAAGGAGAAAAAAAAGTGCCTCGGGCCATTTTACCAAGACTTCCCCGTCCGGCACCATCATGGCGCCGTCAGGACCGGCTGCACGTCGCACGCCTGTTGCCGGGGCGCCCATCGGTTCCTGACTGTTTCTGACTGTTTCTGACTCCTTGCAGCAGGAGCCGCAGTTTCTTACAGGCTGCCCACGGACAATGGTTGCACGCTGCAGCAAGCCCCTGAGCAACGTCCAACTCTGTTAGCCCGGTGGATCGGCGCCGATGCAAACGCACGACTTGAATCTGGTGGTCATGGACTTGGTCTTTATGACTCTCGAGTCTCGACTTCCATTGAGGGTGTGGGCCACCGGTTTCCGTGGACAATGGTTCGTTCGTTTCGTCTTGTTGATGGGACAAGGCGGACGCCAAAACAACAGGAAACATGTGCCAATGAGATCTGGGCTGGATTTTGACAACAAGCCGCCATGGCCAGGTAGCCTGCCATTGCCCATGACTGGTGTCTCATGCGGCTTTAAGCTGTGAAAACAAAAAGAGGGGGGTGGTGTTCGCCCAGCAGGGTCTATGGATGTAAATAATGCGAGTGCAATAGGCAAAAAGCAATGCAAACCGCACTGCCAAACCACCAGATGTCCGTCATCAACAGCCCAGGTCAGACCACATGCTCCGGTTCCCATCCCAACAACCAGGCCCGTAGCCAACAAAAAAAGAATCAAATGACTGACTAGCTGCTGCACGTCTTCTGCGACATCCGTACAGATACACAGCAAGACCACATTTCGTCCATTCACTCTCTCACTCTTACTCGTCGTTCGACATCTGCATCTGCATCTGGCCTACCTCGATCTGATCCAATTCTCCTTCTTCCCTTTCTGCTGCACAATCCCATTGTCAACCAACCACACCCATCTTTCCTTCTTTCCCACCTGGTTTCGAATTGTCGCAGAATCTTGCGTCCATCATCGATCCCGCCTCCTCGTCATTGGCTCCCCGCCTCCCGTTGCTGCTGCTACCGGCGCTGTCGGTCTCGACACTTTATTACACCTTACTCAGACATACAGACGACCGTTGCCGTCCATCCCATCCCGCCTGCACCTTTGCACCTTTCGCTCGTCAATTCTCGTCCGAACTCACGGCCTTTGCCCTTCTCTTACCTCGTCGTTCCTTGCTCATACCTTACCTCATACTCTGGGTCCTGCCATCGGTCTCCTTGGCTACCCCTGCATGAACCCCAGGACGACCACGTCGACTACGGATACCAACATCAAAGTTCGGACGCACCACCAAGGACTCACTGCCGGACCGATCCTGGGCCTTTTACCGCGTCTTGTCAACAACACAAGCAAAGCAGACAGGCATCAAGCAATCCAATCCAGACCGGTTCAGTCCACACTGTGAACTGTACAATCCACACAAATCAAGAAAAAAAAAAGATAACAGCATTGACGCCTCGGAGTCACCATCATCCACTGGCAATCCAAGGGCCCCGACTCGCCTCTCCCAGTCGCAATTCCTTCTCTCATCTCGTCCTCTCCTGTCCGTCACAATCTTTACAGCAACACCACAGTTCCCTTCTCCATTTCCAGTCCTTGTCGTTCCTCGAACTGGGAATCTGTGCCCGAATCCGTCATTCGAGCCCCCCAAGGTACGGCAAACAGGCGAGATAAAAGATTCCACAGCGGCCGCACCCACTGGTTGACAAGCTTGAACTACCCTACCGCCCCCTATCTGAGCAGAAAATACCCTCGTCCGCCACGCCAGCTCAGCCAATCTCGCTGTCCAATCGTGGCATCCATTGTGCCTGCAACCCTCATTCAATCACCCCCCGACCAGACCCAGAGAGGACTCGACGAGGTCTGGTTCCTGAACCTGGGCCACACACCCCCGAAAGCCCCCCGTCCCCATCGAGAAGACCCAGAAGAGACCAGACCCCCCAACCCCGTCTCTTGCTCCGGTTCCTGCTAATCGCTGCTATCTGCTGGGGCGTTTCTCGCTTGCTTTTGGCTGGCTGCACTGCAACAACAAACACGGCCTGTCAATAATGACCCTCTTTCCACCCTCTCCATGACAGCCATTTTCCTACTACAAATCTGCTTCGTCGCTACTGTTTCTCGCACTCTCTTGAATGACCACCAAAAACACCTAAACACATACAAGGCTGTCGTCGCCAGAAGAACGAATTCCGCTCACTCCTCCACCGCCTGGAGACAAAGGCACAACCGGAAGGCCAGTAACGCCTCTCCCTCCCATTCTTTGCTTAAGCGCCGCCGGTCATACAACATCGCCAACGCTCAACTCTCCCGGGAGGCGTCACGCAACCGATTTGCTGGTGCTGAGATGCAGAGCACCCACGAGATTCGCTGTCGTTCCTCTTCTGTGGTCGAGCGCCCGCCGGCGGACTCCCCGGCCACTACCACGACGGCTTTTACACCGCAACCCTCGCTGCCCCCGAGACCTACCCAATTCAAGCCGTCAGAGATGCACGTCGAGACTCTGATAGGAGAAATGGAGGAAGAAGCACCGGGGGCTATGACACCGCCTCCCCCAACCCCCTCGACACAAGACCGCCTTAACCGCGCGGCGCGTTCGAATTCCAGTGCCTCTCGAAATACCAATCGGCTATCGCTTACACTGCCAATCGCTCCGCCGACCAGCGACCCTTCAAGGCCAGCGTCAGTTACAACCGCATCGTACCCTCCCACGCCCGCCGACACGTCGGCGGTCACCTCACCGTCAGACCCCAATGACTTCATCATTGCGATAGCAGCGCAAGAACGACGAGTATTGGAGATTCGCGAGGAGCTGGCGCGTGCGGAAGCTGAATTGGCGAAATTGAAGCATGACTGGACTGCCCAGTCAGCCCGGAGGAAAAGGGATCTGCCACAGCGCCCATTGGCGCCCCAATTTGAGCCGTCGCTATTAGACGATGATGAGGCAGCTTCCAGACGAAGTGTCGAGCTGGATAGAAGGAAGGCGCTTCTGAGGGACTTGCAGGGACAGACCGGCCCCCGAGAATACAGACGAAGAGTCCTTCGTGGCGGGCACACGCGGACTCTCTCATTACTTTCGCCGACGAAACCGGAAGGCTTCGCGGTGCACGAAGACACCTCCAGTGTCAAGTCCATGGAGCTTCGTTCCCCGGTCATGACCCCTACCCATCCTGCTCTTCCTAAGAGGGCTTCCTGGCAGCCGCGCACTTACAACACCGCTACACCTGGAGTGAAGCAGATGGCTCAAGACTTCAGGGTAGGACTCTGGAGCTTCGTGGAGGACATCCGACAAGCCACCGTCGGCGACGAGCCGATTCATGGCATTTCCCGTCCTGGCTCGACCGATCCCACGGGGAAAAGGGTCGGCTCGTTCGGCGACCAGGACACGATCAGGGCCCTCAACTCTCGTCCCAGAGTCCCATTGAGCTCCGCTTTTGACTCGCCGATCGACACCCCAAGCAAGTCGTCCAAGCCGTTGCAGGAACGTCCGAACCCGAAGCCGGCGACGAAGTCTACGACCAAAGCAAAGCACTTCTCGTGGACGCCGTTGACCTTTGACTCTTTTGACGATGACTGGTCGAATTGGGACTCGCCCGTGGTTTCTTCGGCCAAGTCTGCTCGCTGGAGCGGCTCGACCGTCGGCGGCGCGGAGGGACTTGCGTCCATGTCCGAGAACAACGATGAGAATGTGACTCCACTGTAAGCAACTCACCAACGGCCTCATCCCCCCACTGTACTAAGACATCCGTCCACAGCAAGAAGAAGATGCCCATCACCGTTGACACTTCGGCCCGGTCTGACTCCCGCCCCGAGTCGGCTCTCTTGTCGCCTACCCAGCTCGGGGAGCTTCTGCCCACCGTAGTGAACAAACTCTCACCTGGCAACCTCAAGCGTACCGCCAACAACCTCATGGACGAATGGGAAAAGAGCTTGTCCCCGCCGCGACAGCAGCAAGACGAAGAGGAACAGCTGATCGATTTCCGGGAGACCACAGCCTGATCTGCGAAAGACTAGGCAAACGAACAGCAGGCCCTCACACCCAAGCGGATGCATTTGCATCGTACATGAAGAAATTCAGCACCGTACATATCCGAGCACGTCGCATGGATCACATTCAAAAGTATAGATAAAAGTAAACCGGACCGGATTGCGCAAAACGGCCAGAAGAGCGGACAGGTTATCCCGCCGAACATAGACAACGGGTGAACAACACAGGCAAGAGGGGGAGGTGATGGAGGGGCCATGAAATAAGGGCAGCCCAGAAGCTGCTATTGGTTATAAGTCGACAAGACTTGCCAGGATAATGAAGCTCTGCTAAGGGAGCTTATATCGGCGTATGTCTGGATGGCAGTCTAACAGTCATTGACGATGATGAGCTGTTGGATGATGGCATAATGACGATATTAATGAATGTACGAACGCAAGTATTTCGTGCTTTTGGAGGGGAATGAAAGAACCAGCGTTTATGCGTTTGGCTGGTTTGCTGTTTCTCGTAGTTGTCTGTCAGACACGGCCAGATATGAGAAACGTTTCGAAGAACAGCCTGTTTTACCCACGTAGTTAGATTCGAATAGTAGTAACTGTTTATGACTGTAATCTGTGTTCTGTCGTCTTGTTGGCGCCAATGAACCATGGGACTTGCGACGAGGTGTTGCTTATCATGGTGATGTTTGACAAGCCACACCTGTGAAATGGCGGGTGGTCGTTGAAAAGCCGGTCTCAGGGTCAACGGTGCGGAGAACGGGTGTGTTTGGGGAGCATTTCGTGGCAGTGCAGCTTTCGCAAGCCTGACCTTGACCGCAACCTGAGGTGCAGGCTTTCGCTTGGCGGATCGCTGGGTTGCTGCGGTGTAATTGTCGACTGGCTCCCTGGACAAAGGCCGTCGTCTGGTGTCAATTACACTTTCTGGGACTCCTGTCGCGCTCGTTGCTTTCAACTCAAACCAGAGACACAGCAAGCTGCATCGCCATCCACAGAAAGGAAAACGAGAAAACATCACAACTTCTCTGAACCCTGAAATCAAAGTGAATGCAGGTCGGATTCCGCCCGAGGCTGCGGGCTCGGCCGTCTCTGGTCGAGTTACTGGCCCGGGGCAAGCAACAAGACGACGATGGTCTGTCGTCGTTGCCAGTGTCACCTTACATTCCTCCACCTGCTTCGGTGACGGCCGCTGGCACTGGCGGCTCAGGAACCTACTTGCAAGTCCCAGGCGAGCTGGATCTGGATGTGGACTTGTTGGACGTGGACGCTACAGGCGCTGGCGGTCCTTCAGCGACAGGAGGCGGCGGCCTTAACACTGACACAGCAGGCACGGGCCCCGGTCATACATCATCGGGTCCACTCTCGCATGCACTACGTGAGGCGTGGGCTGGCTGCACCAATCCCATTGCCAGCTGGAGTGCCCCGGCCAGACATGCACGGGAGCCGCAGCCGCACCGAAGCAGCCAAGTGGACGTCGAAGCTCTGGCAATAGCTTCTGCTCAACCTCTACCATCATCTCCTCCAACAACACCTCGTCAAACGCCATCCAACCCTCCCTCCCCTTCAACCCCGGACGCTCTCTCCGCATCGACCGACCTTCTTCCTGTGACGATAATCCACGAGCCGAGCCCTGCTCGCGTCCAGACGTCCACCATGCCTCCTGTAAGCACCCCCCGAATCGTCGTCTCTTGTTATGTTGATGCGGCATATGCCTGCCCCACCGGCCCGACCTCGATCGCAGAAGCTGACCAACGCCCCAGAAGCAGAAGAAAGACAGCAAGGACGATGAGTCTCACACCGGTCAGTAACCAAGATCATTTCCAGTTATCGATGACAGCTTGAACTGACCTCCTCTTGCAGGCAAGATCTTCTCGGTCTCTGGGTACGATCGAAGCTCCCCCGATTCGCCCCCTTCCCCCGATCTACCGCGCTCTACGACTAACCATATCCTAGACCCGTCATTGTCGCCGAGGACATGATTGGTGTTGCCATGTACGAGTTGGTAGGTCGCATCGCTCGGATGGATGCTGGGATTGAATGTCTGACAATGCGCAGGTCAGAGTCGGTCACGATAACCTGGTCGGTGAAGTCATTCGTATCAATGGCGACCAATGCACAATTCAGGTCTACGAGGAGACTGGTGGGTATATGGCGCACGACAGCTGAAAGTACAGTCGACTGACAAATCGCAGCCGGTGTCACTGTCGGTGACCCCGTCGTTCGCACCGGAAAGCCTCTGTCCGTCGAGCTGGGCCCCGGTCTGCTCAACGGTATCTACGACGGTATTCAGAGACCCCTCGAGAAGATTAGCGAAATGTCCAAGACCATTTACATCCCTCGCGGTATCGCTGTTCCCGCCCTCGACCGTACGAAGAAGTGGGAATTCGTTCCCTCCCTGAAAGTTGGCGACCACATCTCTGGTGGTGACGTTTGGGGTACCGTCAACGAGAACTCCTTCATTTCCACCCACAGAATCCTGTTCCCTCCCCGCGCTCGCGGTACCATTACCAAGATCGCCAGCAAGGGCAGTTACACTGTTGAGGAGAACCTCCTCGAGGTCGAGTTCGACGGCAAGAAGACCGACTACCCCATGATGCAGTCGTGGCCTGTGCGAGTTCCCCGTCCGACCACCGAGAAGCTTCAGGCAAACGAGCCCTTCGTCGTCGGTCAGAGAGTGCTGGACGCTCTGTTCCCCGGTGTTCAGGGTGGTACCGTTGCCATTCCTGGTGCTTTCGGTTGCGGCAAGACTGTCATTAGTCAGTCTGTGTCCAAGTTCTCCAACAGCGATGTCATCGTCTACGTTGGATGCGGTGAGCGCGGTAACGAGATGGCCGAAGTCTTGAAGGATTTCCCCGAGCTCACGATTGAGGTCGACGGCCGCAAGGAGCCCATCATGAAGCGCACCACCCTTATCGCCAACACCTCCAACATGCCTGTCGCTGCTCGTGAGGCTTCCATTTACACTGGTATCACCGTCGCCGAGTACTTCCGTGATCAGGGTCTGAACGTCGCCATGATGGCTGACTCCTCTTCCCGATGGGCCGAGGCTCTTCGTGAAATTTCCGGTCGTTTGGGAGAGATGCCTGCTGATCAAGGTTTCCCTGCTTACCTCGGTGCCAAGCTCGCCAGTTTCTACGAGCGTGCCGGCCGTGTCAAGTCTCTCGGTTCCCCTGAGCGCAATGGCAGTGTCAGCATTGTCGGTGCCGTCAGCCCCCCTGGTGGTGATTTCTCCGATCCTGTCACGACATCCACCCTCGGTATCGTACAAGTTTTCTGGGGTCTCGACAAGAAGCTCGCCCAGCGGAAGCATTTCCCCTCCATCAACACCTCGCTCAGTTATTCCAAGTACACCATGGTCCTCGACAAGTGGTACGAGAAGGAGTACCCCGAGTTCCCCCGCTTGCGTGACCGCATCAAGCAGCTCTTGTCCGACTCCGAGGAGCTTGACCAGGTCGTGCAGCTGGTCGGAAAGAGTGCGCTGTCTGACCCCGACAAGATCACTCTGGATATCGCCGCTCTCCTGAAGGAAGACTTTCTGCAGCAGAACGGTTACTCAGACTACGACCAGTTCTGCCCTCTGTGGAAGACTGAGTGGATGATGAAGTTGATGGTCGGTTTCCACGACGAGGCGCAGAAGGCCATTGCCCAGGGACAGAGCTGGGCCAAGGTTCGTGAGGCCACCTCTGACCTGCAGTCCAAGCTGCGTCAACTCAAGTTCGAGGTTCCCACCGACGGCGAGGAGGTCATTACCAAGAAGGTGAGTCAATTCATTATGAAATGCAGCCATGCATCCTTAGCTAACCTTCTGCGCAGTACGAGGAGATCCAGCAGCAAATGTTGGACAAGTTTGCCTCCGTTGTTGACGAGTAAGCGCTGCAAGGCGTTGGGTAATATCCTGTTTTGTCAAAGTCTCCCGCGTCGCGCTGTAGGGTATGTCTGGGGTCCAATAGATGAGTCTGGGGCGATGGCATCCTGCATGATGGTTCCTCTTTTCGTAGTCTCGGCTAGTATATCACATCTGTATATGATCCTAACATGAGCTTCATGCCTTATGATGATGGTTCAACATGTGTGATGTCACGGCAGATACACATTGCAATTGCTGTGATGTAAATGCATGCAGCCATTTGCTTGAACGATCCTGCAATTTGATGACCAATGTGGATACGTAAGAATGTTTGAGCAAGTTTGAGTGCATGAACATAGCGAAATAACTTCAAGCCCCATCTACCGTAATTACTTGGACGGTTATGACCACTGCCAAAAGGAGAAAGGAAAATTTCAAGGACGACATTATTGGAAAAGACAGACAAGGAAAAGGCAACGCTAAGATTCACGCGACAGATCTTCAGCCAAGAGTAATCTCTCTCCAGGCTTTGCCCGGGTCAAAAGAAGCGAAGTCGTAGGCCCTCTGGTAGATCTTTGCCAACCCAGCTCGCTCCGCCACTTCATACTCCTCGCCCCAGACGATGAGGAGGGCATAGTACAGCTGCCACTCCGATACCTCCCTGTCTTCGGGGACATAGTAGTTCCAAGTGTCAAGCTCCTCCATCGAGAAGTCTCGAGCGTCGGAGATAGCTGCAAACTCGAGTACATCACCCACGCAAGTGAACCATTTGTCTTCGAGTATGATGGTGCCACACCAGTCTCCATTGGAATCCAGAAGACTAAAGCGGTGCAAGCCTGGCTCTAGCTTTGTGGCGAAGGTTGGACTTGTCCGGGTTTCTCTAGATAGCTGGAAGAAGGCCGTGTAAGTCCAGAAGTACAGGTAGGATTTGTCGCGATGAGGGCTCGTTGGGAACGTTGGCTTTGGTTCACTATTTTCCATCGGACCGACTTCACCGTCAGCCAAAACCTGCCGGCGGCCGTAAGGCTCATCTGAATTGCTGGACGTCTGATACCCACGCCATCGAGAGGACATAGACGCGCGAGGTGAGTCGACCGATGACCACACAAGCTGAAAGTCTGTGTCATCCGGTATGGTACTCAAGATCTCCATGTCTTCGCGTGAAAAGTCATCCTTCAACTTGTACCAAACCACCCATGTGTGAGACACCAGCCAGTCATGCAAATCAAGCAGAACGCCCGATATGGTGGAGAGCCTCCAAGTACAGCCCCCAATCCAACCGCACCAAGACCAACTGGGAAACTCTAGGCTGTTCCGTCTCCCACCGCTCATTCGGTTCCAATCAATTTCGGTCTCGTCATTCTTTGTTTCCCAGAGGACAGCCAAGTCAAAGTACGAGCTGGGAAGCCCGAAGAAGAATGTGGTTCCAAGGAGAGGCTTCAACATGGCCAATACTCCCATGAAGCCGTTGATCCTATCGCTCTTGGAGGCCATTTGCCTGACACTATACAGCTCCACATACTCAAGATACAACCGCACTGGGTTCTTGGCGATTGAGTTGAAGGGCGAACTGACCATCTCTAAAGTCCAGGCCGGGATGGAAGATGCAGAGCAGACCTCTTCAGACCATGTTGCTTGGTGACATTGGAAGAAGACACAATCTTCAACAAAAATCAGAGACCTTTTCGATAGCACCCTTTCCTGGAAAACCCATGCTCTCGAATTCCATTGTGTGTTCTGTATGCGACTTTCGACCGTCTTAGTTGCCATGAGAGTGAGGCCTGCGCATGTCGCAATTGGAAGATGGGCGAGATTTCGGGGGGTCATGGGTGAACCCTCAATTCCATTACGTACACTGGTTCCAGATGCCGCGCAAATGTTGACAGCTGCATTTCCATATATTTGGTCCATGACTGGAATTGTGCGACTCTTGTCGTTATAACAGTCTTGAATGATGCATAATGCGTCAATCCATATGTATCGAATACCAATTGATCGGACGAGTTGCATAGCATCGCGAATCGTTGCCTCCATCTCAGGTATCCTAGGGCTCAGTGCTCCAGATGATCTGAAAGACTCGAAGTTGTGCCTTCTTAGAAGAAGCTTCTGCGCACGACCCCATACATAACTGAGAGTGGCATACTCGGGAACCACGGTTCCCGTTTCTGCACAAGAGACCAGGGCTTCTTGTTCCAAATCGATAAATCTCAAACAATGAGAAAAGTCTAGGGACTCCTGGGATGAGTCTCCAGACTGACAGCTGTGATTCTCTCTGCATAGGCGAAGCCAATTCTTCAGCATCTCCGGATCGATGGTGGAAGGCGATACCTTTCGTGCCAGAAAGCTCGGTTCTGCCGAGAAGGAAGAGTCTGGAGACATGAGCATTATGTGAGTATCGGTCCAGTAGTTTTCCGGGCTGAAAACCCTCAGGCGGCGCGTGGGCGGTCGGGGCTTGGCTTCTGGCTCTTGCACTTCCATTAGACGCCCATCAATCTGCCACTCTATGTAGCAATAGACTCTTTGTCCGTCTTTGGTGCGGCCATCGAAGCCGATGTGATGTCCTGTAGATGCAGTACGTGACTGGAGCGAATGGGTTCCCTGAAAAACCAGCCAACAGAGCGGGCATTTTCCTCGACGACGATAGATGTCGTCAAGATAGCCCAGGTTTAGCGTCTGCAAGCCGGTGGCAGCCGACTCTTCCGAAAGAAATCCTGGGAGGTCGCTGTTCGAAGCTCCAGCTGGGACGAACTTCTGATCCGACAGGTTGAGCTGCTCGCAGCTTGGGCACAGTTCGTCGTAAGGTGGATCGTTTTCTGCTGAATACTTGCGCCGCTTTCTATCGGAATCTCTATCAGGACGGCCAAGAAACCTCTTCGTGTCTATGTTTGATGTTAATTTCGACCGCGGGAACGACACTACCTTAGGTCAGGAAGCCGTCGGTGTAGCACGCCTTAGACCACACCGAGAAACACCACGACGCGAACTTGCGGTGTATTCACTAGACAAAAGGAACGGAAATTTCTCGAGTTGAAAGGTGGCAAGAAATACCGGTTCTCAGCCGTAAAGCGCAGCCTGTTCAGACAGCGCCTCTCCACTTTCTGCTGATAGGTTGTCTTCAGGCAACCGGGACCTTCTTCCTCGCGAGTACCTAGTCATGTAAGCAAGAGCCGTAAAGCCAGGTCATGAAGACTTCACATTCAGCCTTCATGTTAAAAAGCGTATCAAAGTATGATATCTGAAAAAGAATCGGCGACACTTTGTAGAGATTCTTCTGAGTGCCCGTGCAAGTGTGCCTACTTGTAGATCCGCAAGTGCGGATGATTGAATTGGGGAACCTTATGAGATTTACCTTGTGTAGTCTACATTGATGCACGGACCATGTCGACCCACAACTCCCGTACAGCGGTTGAACGGCCGGTCCTTCGGAGCAAGTTCTTACTATCACCTTCACAATCATACATAACTAATATGACCCAAGTGCCATATGAGCTTACCGCATCGCTCAACTCGACATTTGTTGAGGTTGATTCCACGGCGGAGATATCTGAAGTTCTCTCCAGCACAGTCGAGAAACCCCCAATTCAAAGTTTCCGACGTCACATTCAACTCTGGGTTCTCACTCACCACTCATCGCACCTACACCACAACCCATACCCTGTGCCGTCGGCCGGCTCCTTCACAACCAACGCCAACCCCCAAAATGTCGGACGACCTCAAAGACGAAATCGAAGTCATAAACTCAATCTACGGAGACGGCACCCTCTCCCCCGCCACCCCGCCAGACTACATCCTCGCGCTGCCCTCGGCCTCCTCCCTCACCCTCCGCCTCACAGACTCGTACCCCTCCGTCCCGCCACAGGTCCTCGGCACCCACAGCGCCGGCGAGGGCGCGCCCCGCGGCGCCGCCGCCCGCGACCTCGCCCTCTTCCGCGACGCCATCGCCACCGTCTACCAGCCCGGCGCCGTCTGTCTCTTTGACGCGATAGAGGAGTACCAGCGGTGGGCCGAGGCCAGCGCAGAAGCTGAGGCCGCGGCGCGGAGCCCCTCCCCGGAAGCAGCAGATGAGCCCTCTTCAGCAGCAGCAGAGTACGAAGAGTCGTCGGTGCCGGCGTACCTCGCGGAGGAGCCGCCGTGGGTGATCTCGGACCCCTTCGTGGAGCTCAAGTCCGTCTTCGTTGCGCGGGCGGCGCCGGTGAGCAGTCCCGAGCAGGCGGCGGGATACGTGCAGCACCTGCTCGCGACGGACAAGAAGGCGCGGACGGCGACGCACAACATGACGGCGTGGCGGATCCGGGGCCCGAACGGGACGAGCTTCCAGGACTGCGACGACGACGGGGAGACGGCGGCGGGCGGGCGGCTGTTGCATCTCATGCAGCTGATGGACCTGTGGGACGTCATGGTCGTCGTGACGAGGTGGTACGGCGGGCAGAAGCTCGGCCCGCGGCGGTTCGCGTTGATTAACAGCTCGGCGAGGGATGCGTTTGTGAAGGCGGGCTGGGTCGAAGAGGCAGGGAAGAAGAAGGGCGGCAAGTAGAAAGGATGGATATTGGATAGACATCAGCGAGTTATACTCTCGCAACAACTGCATTTAGATCATGAACAACCCACACCGAGGCCCGAGATGGGATCAAAGACAAACGAGATCGAAGCATCTCCAATTCAATCCGGACCGACACCAGCTATTCTCGCAAGACATACAAAGAGTTGGTATCTAACATCAGAGAGCCGCCGTCCTCCGCGAACGCCAACATGTCGAAGGAAATTTTCAAAATCAGATTGCCAACCGCCGCCAGTCCATGCTAGTACAGTCATCCAACATCGTAAATCCCACTCCGAAAGTGTCGTAACATTTTTTGGTTCCCCCTATCTTTTGTTTTCTTTCGATCCGCCCAACAATGTTTTTGGCAAAACCTTACCAATGCAGGCTGTTTCCCGGGCTGTGTTAATATGCTCAACCATATCAGGCCTTGAACAGTTTCGGTTCAAGAATCTCAAGAGCGTGAATCGACTGTTCACACGAAAGAATGACGGCACCGGCTCGAGCGGTAGATAGATATGACAGTCCTGCGCTGTCTCCGGTGCGCATGTCCTGCACAAGTGTACCGGCAACTCCGCAAACGATGCCAGTGGCTTCCAACGGAAGGCTCTCGAGATCCAGGAAGATGGGAGTGAGGTTCGACTTGGTGTCTCCTACGAGTGAATCACCAAAAAGACCGAGGAGGGACCTGTCCAGCAGCAGCGAGGGCGGGTCCTCCTGTGCGAGGGTGATGGATATGAAGCGCGGCCGCGCCGCCAGCGCCGAGATCATGGCGGTGTACAGCTTCGTGTCGATGTTGTCTAGCCAAGTCTGGCGATGGCCGTTGCCCGTCACCTGCCTGCTCAGGGGTGGACGCTGGGTATGCGAGAACTCGCCTCCAAGTTGCGATGTCTCTCGGCCAGAGCACTGGACCAGGAGCAGGTCGTCTTCGACGTAAGGGGCGACGCTACGCTTCTTGAGCAAATCGAAGGTGCGCACCTGGAGCTCGGCGATGGTCGAGGGCGGTGGGGTCAGCGGAGGGCCGTTCTGGCTACCGCCGCGGGAGTGAACAGATGCGGCAGGGCTGACGAAGTTGGACTCGTTCTCGGCCAGCTCAAAACCGCGCGCCAGGAGGGCCTGAACGACAGTCTTCTTGTCCTTGGTCGGCACCAGGATGAAGTCGGAGTAG